ATATATATATTATATATATATATTATTTATATATATGCATATAAATGCATATATATATATATATATACTCGTTGTTCACTTACGTACAAATCGAAAGAAGAAAACCCATTACAAATAAACAGCATGTATGCAGCCCCAATAGGCAAACGAAGACGACTGCATGCACACAGCTCTAAACCTATTGCTGCCGCTGCTGCAGCAGCAGCATGAGACACAGCAGCAGCAGCAGCAGCAATAACAGCAGCAAGCAGGATGTCAGCAGCACTTCTTGATGGAGGCCTTACGGGATCCTGCCCTGTCGCTTCCAGTTCCTTCAGCCCAGAGACGCATATGGGGCAGTCGCTGCAGCAGCCACACCAGCAAAAAAGTTGTAATAAATCGCTGGACCACGACGCCTGCTGCTGCTGCAGCAGCTGTAGTTATTGCTGCAGCAGCTAACAACAAAACCGGCTAATAATAAATCCGTTTATAGCTGCTCAATGAAGCATCTCCTTCTCATAATATTGGTGTTTAGGCTCCCCTCTGAGCTGTCTCTACACCCCAAAGAAAAGCGAATAACAACCAAAGAGCATGCAGTGACACAAACCTGAAGACGGCTTAGGGTTTACACGCGTATAGGCGTTTTTAGGGTTAAGGTTTTGTAAGGGTTTAGGGGTCCTGAGGGTTTGAGGTCTAGGATTCCTAGGGTTTAGGGCGTGTTAGGGTTTAAGGGATTTCGAAGGCTTAGGGTTTAGGGTTTAGGGTTTACTCGGCAAGGAAAACAACGAGTTTGTTGTCGGATACGAGTTTCATTACTACATCCGGTACAGACTGAGGCGGCAAAGAAGGAGGGAGTACAGAATATGCAGAGGGCAGTCTATTTTGTATTTCAACAATAAAGCAGAAAAGAAAAAGAGCAAAAGCGATGGAGGCGAACGTAAGAGAAGCAATCTTAAGTCCCTTTTCTGCTGTCGAGCGATGAGAGACAGAATCATTCCTTTCGGCCGCCTGCTGCTGCTGCTGCTGCTGCTGCTGTGCTGCTGCTGCGCCTTCAAGGAACACCCCCAAGCGTTGTTGCCATGCTGCTGCTACTGCTGCTTGCCTCGCCCGCTGCTCTTCTTTCAGGACCTCAGGAGAAACAACAGCAGTTCCATTGTCTGCTTCCTCTCGTGTTGCACGCGTTACCTCTGAAGGAGGAGGCGCCTTCGGTGGGGCAAACGCTTCTGAAGATATATCTGTTGCTGTCTCCAAAGAAACATCAAGCACAACCGGATGAGGGTTTTCGCTGCAAGCTACCAGCCCGCCAACTGATATACCCGCACAGAGAACAGGTAGAAAAAATAAACGGAAGGCAGAATAACTCCGCATCCTCCGGTTCTAATATAGAAGGAAGAGTATAGAATGAAAAGAAGAAAAAGAAGAAGCAAAAATTGCCTCAAGTTGCTGGCAGCCCCAGCACATACAGAAGTAGAATAATTAACGATAGTGCTTTGAGACAGAAAAGGATTTTCTCTCGTTGCAGTATACAGACACCTCAGTATGTGCTAAAGCCGCAAGTGTTGCGGTAAGGACAATCAGCTGCTGCCGCTTAGCGGCGCCGCTCCCTTACATGCATGCGGCTCGAAAAATAAGAATATATGAAATGCCATTGGGGAAGAAAGAAGATCAGCGAGGGGTTGCACCGGGTGTACGTACAGACAACTACTAAGCGGCTAGGTGCCGTGGCTGCATAAGGAAGCTAACAGCTTCTGATCCGGAGCCCCGGAGAAACTTGAAAATAAACATACAAAATAAATAATAAGTATTTTAAAAAGACAAAACGCAACAACAAGGCTGCAGAGCAACACTTCTTCCTTCTTTCTTCGCCTCCCCTGCACGATAGCCGCAATACCAGAAGCCCAACAGCCCCATGCACGTCTCCGATTCCTTTTACAACATAGCCAGAATGGAATACAAACAAACTAAATGGATAAGAAATTAATACCATTATTCTATTTAAACTTCTCTCTTCGAACTGCGACGGAGTTCCAGCGCAACCTCGAAACCCCTCTGAGCTGCAACGTTCCTTTTACCCCCAAACTCCTTCTGTTCTTGTTCGTTAGATTTTAGGTCGAGTTAGTTGAATTAATGTATTAAAAGAATATTTTATTGCCTAGAGATTATTAAATTATGCAATTAAAGGATTACTCGCGTACACCTGCCGCTGCGCCTACAGCAAGCCGACAAGAGAAACAGAGTAATGATTTTGTGTAACGCAAGCCCTCAGTACTTCTCGCCTAAAAATATTGCAAATGAAGAAACGAGACCCAATATATGAAGTGAGGAATCAAAGGGATAGCTTTTAATACCCTCTTGCCCTGTCTTCTGCTGAACTATATACTTATGTATATACCTATATATACCTATATATACATATATATATTATATATCTAGATGTGTGTGTATATATACATATTGTTTATTGCTTCCATGGAGAGTTTGCTTATGCTGCTACACTCGTATTTGTATTGGGTAGGAGGAGGAGGAAGGTGTTAATTCATAAAATATATATATATATATATATATATATTATATGCATTTATTTATTTATTTAAAAATTATATTTGGTAGTTCGCAAGCTCGTACGAAAAAGAATGCCAGAAAAATAAACATCTTTCTTCTAAACCTTCAGCAAGCTTTGTTGCTGGCTGCTGGAGGAGGAGCGATCGAAATTCCCCATAGAAAAAAGATAGTTTTTTTTTGTTAGGGGAGTAACCTGTCTGATTCTTTCGTCTTTTGTTCTGTGGCGTGGAATATACAAAAGCACCTGCTTTGTGTTGAAATGATGCATGCACGCATGAAGGAGGGTGCGAGCGATACGTATCTAAGGTTTAGGGTTTAGGGTTTAGGGTTTTGTTGCATGCGCTACATACGTCTTCTTGGGTTCTAAAGATCTCCAAGCCTCGCACAAGGACTTATATTCTTCTAAAATACACCTTCTCAACATCTCTGGATCTTTTACAACAGACTCATCAGCAGAAACGCAAATGCTGACGGTACCCCCGCAAGAAAATGCAGAAACACCAACTCCGATCTGCATGCACGACAAGCAGCATCTTTGTAGAGCATTACGACCATATGCAATATATATACAATATATATATATATATATATATATACATATTAAGACCATATAAAATATATATACAATAGGGTGTGTACATATATGTATATATATTATGTAGACATACGATAAATATATATTATATATATACATAATGTATATTATGTAGATTAGAATAGATATATACGGGTAGATAGATAGATAGCTAAGTAGATATACAGAGAGATAGGTAGATTAGTATAGATGCTGATTGTTTGACTGATCTATAGATGGGTAGAATGATATTTTAAAAATGTAAGTAAATACAGAAAATATGTGTATATATAGATATATAGATATTCATATGCGCACGTTGTGTTAGGTGCGTCTAAACAGCAGAGAACCGCAAAAGGAGGAAGAAGGGAAGAGGAGAGCAGGAAGAAAGATAATTGGAGAAGAAATTAGAGAAGAAACTTTAATTGACTCACCTCCCCCGGCTGAGGCACCACGAAATGCATTCTCTGAATGCGGCTGCAGTACATGTAAGGAAGTGCTGCAGGCCCAATGACGCTGCTAAATATCACCGATATCTAAATGCAGAAACACAAAAGAAGAAGAATAACAATCAATAAATCAAGCGCGACAACAACACCTGTACTTCACATGTACATAAAAACAATTGCAGCCAAAAAGGACAAAAAGTCGATAAAACAACACTGTTTCATTGATTTCTTATTTTTTTCGTGAGTTTAAAAGTTCGTGTACTTCACTTGTTCAACACTCCCTTAGAGAAAACACAAAAGACAGCATCTTCCCGCAACAAACAGCAGCCTCTTTTATTAAAGCAAATCTCTTCATTACCATTTGTCTTTTTACATTAGTACGGCGAAGCGTGATTATGTGCAAGAGGAAGAAATGGAGAAGAGCTCACGGTACAAGTTCCCCTTAAATATGCAACACTAGAATGGGGAAATGCGAAGAAAACCAAGAAGAGAACAAGGAAACAAATGAATTATTTCTATTAAAAAGCAAACAACTTGCCCTTAACCCTTATCAGAGGATACGTCTGTGGAATTCGTCAAAGAGAGGCGGAGCATGCATTTGCTTTTTTGTTTTGCAATAACAGAGATCCCTACAAATTCACCTTATGCGTCAAACGAAGGAAGTACGCCATTAACAAATCCGGCCAAGTGGCATAAAGCCATCTTTCCAGGCACATAACCATGGGAAGAGCAAAACTCCTCAAAGACCGTCTCAGCGCTGCATGCACTCCTCGCATTCTGCAAGCCGCACAACACGCCAGAGCAGAATAATAAATATACTATTTGCTCTATTCAAACTGGTCATGCAAGAACAAACTTTCCGAAAAAGAATTATGAATTAATGTCCTATGTAGACACCACAAACGAACAACACCCAAACAGAATAATGGAAGTTCCGCATAACAGCATCTTTTTCATAAACTGACTCTTTTAACAAACAAGACGACAGTGGTGCTAAGTATGCTGCAGGCAGGAGAGGAGAGGGTTAGGATTTCTTACCTTTGTAAGGAGTCGCCTTGAGGGGTAATCGGCATTTGAATTATGAGGGAAGCAAAACGATTGCGGAGGTCCATTGCTTCTTCTTCAGCATGCCGTAGATTGACAGGTACAACGAAATTCATTTGTTCTTTTCTTAAGCTGGCATTTAAAGGTTTCTTTGTGTCTGTACTCACTCCGCTATTTAATGCTTTTTGACGTTCTTCCAGCTCCTGCTGAGTTGTGCAACGGTAATACCCCCCTACAATACAAGTTGCAAATATATCATTGAGAGTAAGCCGAATGCCATTGTTTTTTCCTTTTGTTCCTCCTGCGTTTCTAGAATATTTAACAAGGCGAGAAAGCAGGCGACTATTCGCTGTGGCTTCGTTAGTTGTATGTTCTGCATGCGTTTGTTGCTGCTGCTGTTGCTGCTGCGCCAATGCTGCAGTCAGGCGCGTCTTGAGGTCCTTCAGTTCTTGCAGCGGAAGACAAATCGGAGAAGCTATTCGAGTTCTGTTCGCACTGCCACTTCTTGGAGCTTTTAGCAGCTCGTCGTAGCTTAAAAGCATCGCCATCCCTGCGCCATAGAAAGGCAGTTGAAGGGCAAAGCGAGCAGCCACAAGAAACCGCCAGAAGACAGTATTTGGAATCGAACAAATAGAGATCGGCGGCTTCTGAGGGGCGCCAACCTGAGCTGCAGCAACTACGCCGAAACCTGCTGATGCTGCTGCTTGTGTTGCTGCTGGTGCTGTGGCTCCTGGTGCTGCAGATCCAGATGGTGCTTCCTCTTGGGACGACCGCAGCACGCACTTCTCAGAGTCGTTGCCCTCAGCTGACGCCTTCAAAGAAAGCCCTGATACCGTCCAAATAGTGCTTGTGCTGGCAGCGCTCACAGGACTGCCGCTATCGCACGCTTGGGCTATACATACAGCATCATTAGAGGCAGAGGTGCTGCTCTGATACGACGAGGCCCCTCCAGCCCCCCGTTCATTAGTATTAAATGCAACTTTCTCAGGCAGAAAAGCTTGCTCTGCTGCGTCAGTGTGGTAAAGAGGCTTGTCGTTGACGCTGCACCCAGGATGTGCTGGGGCTGAACACAAGAAGTCCTTTAGAAACATCCGAGTAATGGAGATGCCATCACCCACAGCGTGATGCATGCGAAACAGAACGGCGCTCCCGATGCGTTCTTTCTGCAGGGGGTTTTCAACGGGATTTGGCGGTAAAATGACATTTTCAAGGTAAAGAAACTGCCAAAGGGGCTTCATAGGATCAAGAGGTTGAGCCTGCGCCTCATTCACGAGACAAAGGACGTCAGTCTCGTCCATCAAGCAATTGCATTCCGACGTAGATCTGCACGAACACGATGAGTTTCTGTTTCCTTTGTCTGCACCCGCTTCTGTATCCTGCCGAGCAGCACAGTGCTGCTGTCGAAGCACATCAATTCCTTTTTTCGTGCACTTCACCACCTGCTGAGACACCTGAAAGCCCGGTTGACGCACCCAGCAGTACCGGCCCATGACGCGTTGAACTTTCGCGAGAAGACGCGGATGCAGAAATGCAGAAAGCGGCAACTGATCCAGAAAGTTGGAACCCCCTGCACAGTTTGCTAAACAGGCGAATTCTGTCTTCGGTCTCAGTAGCTTCTGGGTGATAGCCATGCAGAGCTCTTGAAAGCTTAGTCGTTCGCAGTACGCGAACCCCGTGACAGCCATCCATGGCATAGAAAAAAAGAGCTTTTCCTGGCTTTCCATCAACGACAACACTTCAATAGGCCCATCTTTAGTACCGAAACGCCGAGGCACAGGCAAAGGCAACAGCATTCCTGATCGTGAACAGGTTTTCATCTGCTGCTGCAAACGCGCTAGCAGGTCATCTGAAAAAACAATAGATCGGCGCCACCGTACCACCACACCCCAAGCGTAGAAGCGGACGCGACGGTAAACAAAAAGAACAATCAAAAGAGGCCACAGCATGCAATTCAACACGCAGTAGAAACCGATACTCAACAAACTCCAAGACACCCAAACGAGCAACGGATGCCGCAAGGAAAAACTGACGAAGAGATCCTCCAGAAAATTCACCGTAGCCCAAAACTTGTACGTAACTTTCTTCGACTCTCGCAAACTAGGCAGACCTTGTTTATTTAGCTGCTTCTGCTGCTGCAGCGGCAGCTGCTGCTGCGATGTTTCCGTTGATCTCTCGGCTCTTCTTTGCTGCACGTCTCGTTGGTGCTCATCTGCTGGGTTATGCCTGTCAGCGTTTGACGAGCCCTTTTCCTGGTGGCCTTTCAGCTGTCTTCGCCTGACTCCCCTGTGTGCTGCTGCTTTCTCTTCTCTATATGAGGTCGCTGTGTTGTTTTGCTTTGCAGCTGCTCCACCAGCTTCTGCATTGGCCTCCGACTTTCCTCCTCCTGTGCAGAAGTATTTGGGGAGCAGTCGGCGAAAGGAGCGTTGAATGAATTCAGCGATGGTTAAGATGGCGTCCAGTGCTGCGTACATGTAAGACCTTCTGTAGTGAATGAGAAAGCTGTTGTCAGGCCGCGGGCCGCACTCATGGCACAGCAGAGCCCCTCCTAGCTCCCCACAAGCAGGGCAGTATAACTCACTGCTTTTGTTGCTGTTGCTGTTACTGATGCTGCTGCTGCTGCTGCTGCTTTCAGTTCTGCAGTTGCCGTCCTGCAGTTCGTATGCGCTTTCCCACCGAATGTGCCCTGCTGAGGGGTCCTTTCTGGCTGTTGAGGAGGTGTCGCTTCCTTGAGTAGTTGAACTCTTATGAGGAGATCCTAGAGATGTTGTTAGGGCGTCCTTACTTGGGCAATTGCTGTGCAGCTTTAACAGACCGAACATGCGCCTCTTCGCCCCGCCCTGCACTCCATGCTGTGCACAGTTGTCGCGCTGTTTCTCGCGCTGACATGGCTGAGAAAAAGCATTAAAGGAGTTGTTTCCACCTCCCACATCCCCACTATCATCGCGCGACCGACAGAAACCTTGAATTTTGCTGCCTTGAACAATACGGAATAGATGCGACAGCATTGTTGACACCTGCAGTACTTACGGGGTGCTCCTAACCCCCCCTTTCCGGACAAAAAATAACTTCCCCGGCAGTTAGAGGGGGATTTTGGATAAGAAATGAGGTTTAACTGAGCAGAGAAGGTGTTGCAGAAATTAGAGAAGTGAGCACGTCCGCAGGAGTGCCCCAAAAGCCAATTATGCCGCTTGAAGTATGCCAGAAGGAAAGTTTGATTTTTAGCCTCTTTTTCTGAGGCAGACAGTATGAAAAGGATGATGCAAGACAAGTTTTACCCTCACTGAAATGCAAAACTCTAGCAGGTTCTTCTCCAGGATAAACCGAACGAGCTTCTCCCTCCTAAACCATTGATACAGGCGGTCAGCTTGCGAAAAGCAACCGGAATTCTAAATGTTGTTCTATTGTGCCATTTTAAGTGGCAGTGCGAGTCAAAAATGCGGAAAGGCGCCAAGTGTGCGTTTGTGCTGCTGAGGGTACACCGCAGGAGAAATGCGGGTAACAGCCATGAAAACAAGCGGCAGCTGCAGAAACGACAAGTCAAATTGATTCTCTTTGCATGATTTAGGGAAGGGAAGCAGAAACCAACAGAATGGTTGCTCTGTTCTTCTGTTCCACTGCAGAAGCCAGCGCCCGACACCACTGCCCGCAGGACGAGCAGTGACCCCGTGTCAGTGCCGCCGAAGATGGTTGCTTCCAGAGCAGAGAAAGTTCAAAATAAGGTTTAAATTTGCAAATAAAAGCTAAATAAAAACTAATATCTTCTCCGTGCGAAGGGGTTCAACCGGTGTTTAGAACGCCGGAATCACCGAGAGCCTTCAGTCTTGAGAAGGCAACGCGCAGATTATACAATACGCGCACAGCCTCCTCAACCTGTTGACCTTCTGAGCGTCAGCATTCTCGCTCCCGGTTTTTTTTTAAAACTGTTCCACCAAGTGGTGTATAGCCCGGTGTTCATTTCATACTTATCTGTCAACTCTGCGCCGGTCTCCAGAGCACTTCCAGCTGACTACGCCAGAGCGCGCTGGCGGTCGTTGCCATCTTAAGTGGCCATATTTTCTGCCATCTGTTAATTTAAAAGATGTTTCTGAAGATATATATTCCTAAAATGCATTGACATTTGCATGTCTAGGGCGTTTGTAGCGCGAATTGCTCTTGACTGATTTGCACAACCTGGCGTCGCGTCCGGTGATGGAACTGCTGATGAGAGAATATGTGCGTTGTTGGAACGACATTATTCTATTATTAGTATATCCTCAAGACATTTTATCCAGTCTTTGTTGTTCTTGTTGCATCGGGTGCTCTGCTGTTCTCAACCTGGCGGCTGAGCTGGGGCCTCGCACACCTCACCGCGTACTCTGCTGCTTGCTTCTCTTTCCCTTTAGCTTGGGCTCTGCTGTTCGCGCATTCGGCAACGCCACTGCAGGAAATAATAAGCCTGCACAGAGAATTGATGGAAAGATATGTGATTTTTTGTTAGAAGTTTTTTTCAGCTGATCCTCATCAGCTGGAAAAATCTTCTAACGGGCTGTTGCTGAGACAGATCCAGTACGAGAGGGACGCAGCGGGGAAGCCTCCTTGATTTATCTTGTACCCATCTCCACTTGAATGCTATGTAAATAGGTTAGTAAGAATGTTACTACCAAAACAAATCAACAAGCAAACAGAAACATGGGTTCTTCCTGAGTTCCTTCCTGCTGTCGAGAATTTCCGAATTTCCGTTCCCTCTGGTCTGTCGCTGGAGCGGCAACGGACGCGCATCCTGCCCGCCCAGTTGAAATAGACTAAAAAAAGTGCAATATATGAAATAATATAACATCATATCATAATATTTCAGTCGAACTGTGCTGTCGCGACGCTCCTCTCGGCACTTCGCTTGCACCTCGGCTTTTTTTGTTATGTTGGGCGAATGACTCTCAACGAGCGGTCCCCCGGGGGATCCTGTGAGGCGTTCAAATACTTTAATAGGCATACTGTTCAGTTTGATAATCATATGTTACATGAGTGGTGCGTGATGCTCCTCTTTTTCCTCATTTCCCATCTTGGACAGATACAGCAGGTGCGATGTCGACAGAGTCTTTTGCTGGAGCCCGTCACAAGAGAGATGAAGTCGCTGAGGCAGTGCATTCAAGTGAGCGGTGCAAGAAGAGAGAAGTTTCAAAAGAGAATGAAGGGGGAGGCATGCGTCCGTTGCCCCTGGTATTTCCTACAGCCTCGTGGTCATCTTATCACCCAAGCGACTTAGACAGTAGCTACAGCGAAGGCTCTTCCAAAACAATCAACTCCACAATTTATTCGCATTCCGACAACTCGGCATATGAGGATGCTTCCGAAGGTGAGCCCACCGGAGCTTCCTCTCGGCCTTCTACCATCTTATCGCTCTCCCGCAGCCGCGATAACGACGCAAGTCCACACAACGGCGCCCATCCCCAACGAACTAAACGCCGAAGGCTTGCAATAAGGCGCAGCGCGTTCAAACCCTGGGGACTTGCCGCCTCCAGACGCAGCAGAACACCGGAGAGGGCCAACGCCCTGCTGTATTTGGCCCTAGCGGATCCCGCTCTGTCAACCGCCGCGCTGCTTGCCACAGAGGGGAAGACCCAGAGAAGCCTGAATGCGTTTTCTGAAAAAGAAGGTGAGATGGGGCTTCTTGTGTTTCAAGACAGTGCAAACTGTCACTTGTCTGTTGTTCGCCAGCAGCAATGAACTGAATTACTGGGACTACAGAAGGGAGCAGAAGAGCAACACCCACTGCATGTGCGCAAGTTCTGTGCGACTTCAGAGCGCGAGAGGGAGTCGGATCTCCTCTCCCTGTCTACGCTGCTTGGCTTGGGGTGTATAATATTATTTGTGGCGTTTGTCATTGGCTTCGGTGTCGGGTGCGCCCTTGTGCGCCCCCGACCTTTTAGAGGGAAAGCAGTTTTATCAGTCCTCCCCCTGCCGAGCCGGATGCAGATCACTGTGTGGGAAAAAGAAGACCGTTCGGGGTCTTGGGGTTTTCACGAAGGTGCAGGTACGCCATTAAAGAAAAAAGCTGTGGCGACGGGGAAAAACCCGTTGCAGAAAGGCGTCCTCACAGAAGATACCCCTTTTCTTACGCTCGTGATTCCAGACACCTCGTCTCAGGCGCCAGGGCCGCTGGCAGTGCTGCAAGGCAGATTCAAGTTGCTACTGCCTCTCCATAATACGAGTGAGCTCCTTAGGAGGAGAAGAAATTTCAACACCACAGAAGATCCATCGAAGCAAAACAGGGGAGCTACCCACCCATCCAACTGCCGTGCATGCTTCCCACAATATTGGTGTGTAGAGTGTTCTGTGCCTTGTTATGCATGCGCTGCAAATGTGAACATAGGCTTCTTTGGAGGCACGGAGTCCGGGGTTTCTGTGCTCGAATACATCCCCGCGCCTCGTGTCGGGAAGCTAGCAGGGGAGTGGTGTTTTACCGCTCGTTCCCCTCCGCTAGAGGAAGATCTCCCTTTAACTCCCTCTTCAGAAGACCTTTCAAGTGCCTCAACAGCGCTGCAAAACCACAAAGAAATGCAGACGGGCACAAGAGTAGACAGTGCCGCTGCAACCGTTGGCAAAGCAGCATCTAAAGATACGCCTCGGCCTGTTGTTTTTTCCTTCACCGACACGCAAGCGGGAACGCTGCCGGCCTCCGGAACCCTCGGACCTACATTTGAGTTGCTGCCTGCTGTTGCAGAGTTAGCCTGCGACTCCTTCATGGAACCAGGACACCCCAGCATAGATCAGGCGCAACAGGAAGCGGCCCACTTGTTTAAAGAAAACGCTGGAGAGCTATTGACCGGGGGCTCTTTTCTGCCTCTACACGCGGAAGCGATTGTGCAGGTACGATGATGGTGCATTAGAACACGTAGAAGTTGGCAACAGCTTTCACCGAACAGATAAACGTCAGACACGCAGCTGCCTCAAGCCATTGGGATGACGCGAGTCAGGGATTGGTCATGCTGGCTGCTAAAATAGAAACCGGAGGAAAAAGCGTCCCAGCCGAAATATTCAATGTCCAAATGGCTGTTCATAGGTCTCTGAAGAAGGCACTTGGGTTGCAGCTGCAAAAGAGGTGTGGTGCTTCGAACAATGATGCGGTGGCGAAACACACAATGCTGATATGCTGTCACTAGCATCTTTGTGAATTTACTTTCTCTCCTCAGGCTGACAGCTTGTCAAACCCACAGATGGAGGGACGGCCACTGACGCGCAAGGCATCCGAGGCATCTTCAGCGCTCGCCTCCCCTCCTGCCGGATTTGTTTCTACATCTCTTTCCGAACTTTCACCAAACCCTAGGGACTCCGAAGGGTATTCACCAGCCGGCTTCGCGGCAGGAAGAGAGAGGAAGAGGAAACTCTTCTCTCGCATATTCGGAGGCCTGCGTGATTTCAGGCGAGGAGGCGACGTAAGCAAGAACGGCGCTGATGGGTCAACAACAGATGCAAAGGGAACTGGCTTAGGCGATGAGTATTCAGGAAGGTTGATAACAGATGAGTCTACAGGAAGGCTCGTAAACAGTCGTCGACACGAAGAAAACAAGAATACTGGGGAGGAAGCAGAAGCTTCTAAACGAAGGCTGCAGCAGCAAAATGCATCAACAAAGTGCCAAACCCCCCCATATATACTAGCGGTATCGTTTAACCCGATGACTGACGCTCAGGGCAGTGGATTTCGAGCAAGGGAACTCTGGGTGCATATACACCACGAAGTCACCTCCCAGGGAATGTATGATGACCTACTACAGGACTGCCGTCTCGGCAGGGTGTACATTCAGCTGAGCACAGCACTCGCTTATTACAACGTCTTCTTTTGGAACGATGTGGAACACCACAGTTTCCTCCCCCTGGCTGTCGGCTGTATGCTCAAATACGAAGTTCCGCCGTCACTGCAAAGCAGTGTCGCTTCCATCTGAACTCTCAGAATGAAGTAACTAGTAGCCTCATCGGAGCAAAATTAAAGAAGAGGCACGCTCCTTGCAAGCTGCACTGGACCCGATTACGCCAAGCGACATGAGCCAAAGTTCGATTATTTGCATCTACTTCATTCCTCTGCGCAAGTGCGGCAAGCGGCCTGGTTGTTGGCAGTGGCGAAAGGTCTGCTGCTCATAGTCAACGAAAACTGTTTCTGCTCCTGCATCAAATGGGCACGTTGGAACAGAGAATGGCTTCTGTTTCGCTGCAGCTAACACCGATCCATATGTTGCCTTTGTTCGGGATGATGTAGCGTTATGCATGTTCGCAGAATATATTATTATTTGGCTTGCACTTGAGCTACTGTCCTTCAACCATTCCACTATAGTTCTACTGCCTTCTGGTGCTGCCCGGAGAAGCCAAGTCTTCAGACCACCACCAGCCTCCTGTAGAGGGCGAGGCTGAAAAACTGCAGAAATACTTTGCCTTTTGAGCAGCGCAAGCTTTGAAGGCGAAGTACGCTGCATTCTTACGCTGCTCACAACATAACAAGGGTAGAGAAGGCGTATGTCAGTTGGTGCTGCTAGCAACAGAAGGCCTGTGCTAGTTCGTACTGCCATCGAGAATCAAAATGAGTGGCTAGAGGATTCGGAGTTGGATGCCGGAGGATGTAAGTGCACAAAAATGAGGAAGATTGCGAAAACTCCAAATACGCCTCACCTGTGCTAAAAGCTCACTTAGAGAGTTTTAACGTTTGTGCGCCAAATTGGAAAACAGTCAAATATCAAGACAGCCAAATATAATATGAAAGCAGGCAGATATGAAGACAGTCATATGTGAGACCTAGACAGTCAATTATGGAGAAAATCAGATGTAAGATGGTGACTGTCAAGTATAAAATGAAGACAGTCGAGCAAAATTTAAGATAGACAAATATGATCACAGTCAGTCTCTAGTTGTCCTAGGTGAAGACAGTTCTTGCTCTCTCCCAATAAAAAAGAAATACGCGTACAATTCCTCTTTGTAGCGGAATTTGCTGCTGTCATTCCTCTGTGCATCCTGCTTAGGCCGAGACCAAGAGACGCAAACAGAGACAGGCTCTAGAGGGCAAACACGCTGTTGGAGAGGCAGCAGCAAAAGAACATTCGCTGGCTTCCCAAGAATTCATGTAGCTGCTATCCCAATCGGGCCTTGTTGAGGGTACTGCCGCAACGAAGATGATGGATCTTGGCCCTCTAGGGCACACAAACACTGACTGGAAGTCTCTGAAATGCAGTGAAACAGGAGTTGCTTATTTGCAAAAGCAGTAGAGAAAGGTGGCGATGCAATACTTTTTCTTGAGGCGCCAATACTGCTTTCTGCCTGAATGTACAACTGAGAGTGTGTACAAGCGTACACAACCAAATATGCAGCGTTCTCTCTCTCTCTCTCTCTCTGCTCATTACTGCTGTATGCTTTCTACTGAATTTGTCTATGCCCTCGCCGGAGCGGGACTAATAGAACTTGTACTTGCAACCCTCCTCGCCAAGGGATAAGGGGCAAATATGTTATTAGACACCCAGATGCTGCAATTTGCAGAGTTTCAACATCAGAGATGCAGACAGAATTGATGAGTGCAGGAGGGGAGGCGTGGAAGGGGTCTGTTTTGCCCACTGCACCCTTAGCTAGCGAGAAGCCACTCGGAATAAATCGGTTCGAAGAAGGAAAAACTGCCAGGAGGCTGAACAAATGCTGTATAAAAAAAGCCCGAGGATGCGATTACTAAGCAATCTCGAACCCTGATACGAGCAGGGCGCTACCTCTACACACCGAGCACCAACCAAAGTACACCGACAACAATATTGCAAATATTCGTGCCAGTCCTTCGCTTCCTCACGTTCATTCTTCTCTTTCGAGCTGCTAGACTTTCAATCTAATACACTAAAGTGATCAGACGCAGATTTACATGATTTGCTGCCTCCTAGAGAGCACCGTGTGTGCTGCACCGCAAGGCGCGTGTTCAGGCTGAGGGGGTATTCCAACGAGACTGAAGGGCCAATAAAGGCTGCAGTATTCAAAGCCCGCAAATTATTTGAAATATTTGACAATCAGGCGGTTAGACGAATATTTTTGGCAGCTCAACGGCAGGTGGCGCCGGCTTGGGCAGGCCGGGCGGTGAGCAGGGCAACCAGATAGTCAACGGTTGGTACTTGTGCAGCTCGACTTACAGAAGGAATTCTCGAGTTTCCACGTCAACATTTAACATTATGGGGGCATTAGGGATCATCCCCTTGACTAGTGAAACAAAGCGAGTACCCACTGGTAGATGACGTAGCTGGCGTTCAGCCGCCCGTTGGACTGGACTTGGCTTCAATGCTGAATAAGCCCCGTATGTTCAAGAGTGTCACATGCAGCAGCGAGCTACTTTTGCAGAATCTGAACTATTTCTCTAGTACTTTGAACCTATCAAAGAGCGATCCAATAACGCCCGCTCCAGCGCAAAGGGCACAACAACAACACAGCCCTAGGGGGCCCCAGTCCCACTGCGTGCCAGAGGCTTACGGCCTAGGCAACGGCAGCAAATTGAATTTCATGAGATTAGACAACAGCTTTGCCCATTCCACTATATTCGTATTTCTTTCGCTTCGCGCACGTCTGCAGGATCTGCTATGGTTAATCCACAAGCTTCTTTCGTTTCCAACCTCCGATTGGAATGGAGTGTTGCACGCGTACCACTCGCAAAACACTCAATTAAATTCAACAAATTTGTGTTGAATGACTGAGGATTCAAAGGGGCCTCCATATGCCACGCCCTGAGGGCCTCCTCGGGGGCTCCGTTGCAGTAGGCTCCAGGGGCGACTGTATAGGGGGACTTTCGTTGGCTTGGGCTGGTGGCGCTTTGCATATATCTGGCCACGATACTTAGTGATTGCCGAACAGAGGGGCCAAGATTTCGGTGGAGTGTCCAGACACCCCAGCGTAATCGCATCGTCTAGCCTGGGCGCTCATTGATCACAAACGGAAGCGGATGCAACGGGCGCTGGACCTTACCTGATTTCTTTAGGTGGGACAAACAGAGCGCTCCTTTGAGCTGCGCCTACTGTACAACAGCATCTGAAGACATAGGGAACCAGGCATAAACGCATGCATGCACACTGACAAAACGCAGCCGTTGTTGTACCTGGCGCTGCTGGGGCGTCACCAATTCGCTTTTGGAAGCCGCCCTGCAAAGATGGAGGAGAGTTTTGGGGGTATGTATCGGTTGCTTTCTTCTCCTTTATCGTAAGGGAAAGGGGACTGAGATCTACAGACGCACCTGAGGCAACGCATGCGCAGCGACAGCTGGAGCAGCCCTCCCCCAGAGTCCTGCATCAGCTGCGCCTCTTTTCTTTGCATGCGGCCACCAACAAATGTATCGTTTTCTAGCCAGGAGAACGGCAGCAACTGCAACGGCAATAACAACAGAAACGCCTGAACTCAGTCCTGCAGCATCGGGGGAGCGGCCATCTAATTGTTAGCAACCCTGCCGGCTCCCTACGCACAGCAGACTGACAGGTTCAAGAGAAGTGCTTTTCCTAAGTCGGTGGATAGACTGCCGTCGAGGCGTCACGACAGCAGGAGAGGACATCACCCATTCGGTTTGGTACTGCATTGATTGCAGTCGAGCCAGCCCTTGGAGGCCTTTGGCCACTGGTGGAGGAGAGACAGCAACAGAAAGAGAGAGAGCAAGAGAGAAGGGGCTCTCCTCAGGAGAGCTGTTGTTGCTGAGTGCTGAAGATGCGCCGCTTGCGAACGAGTTTCTCCCGGCAGGTTGCTGGAGATGTGGGCGTCAGCAACCTCGAGAAAGTGGCTTCTTTGCCTGTGCAGGCGGGAGAACAGGGTGAAGGCAGCGGTGCGTCTGCTGCTTGTTTTATTTGTCCTGTTATATGCACAAACGAAGTCACGTGGGTTGTCTCATCAGCTGCTTCTAGATACGACGAACAATCTTCAGCTTCCTCACCTAGCAGATGGGCTCCACAGGCAGAGGAAAACAAAAAAAGACAAACATAGAAAACCTGCTGCAGCAGCAGCTGCTGCTGCACCTCTCTGCCTCTGTCTGCACACCAAAATATTAGCGATTTGCATTAAATTCCCCATAGCAGACTTCGTTAAACACTGCCGAGGGAACACCGCAATAGCCACGTCATGCTGGAAGATGTATCATGAAGGGTCTGTGCTTATGTATTCATCTGTATTTATGGTGTATGCTTCTCTCTGCATTTAGGCGCGGAGAATGCAGCGAAAGAGGCGGCAGTGGCTGCATCAGCAACAGACATGCCCCATGAGCTCAGGAGACAGATGTACCACGAGGCCCACGCCTTCAGACACTCTCCTCTCTTTACGCAAAAGGTTAGCGGAGCAGACAGCATCTCCCTTTGAGGCTTGTTTGTTTAAATTGAAGATGTTGCATGCCTGCTCACAATATATGCATTTATATCAGCAACAGAGATATATATTAACAATACAAACATACACCCGCATATATATATGTATATATTTGTGCTGCGGCTTCTTGCTAAGGATTCTCTCGGGAACGAGCATGAATCCGATCTTAATCAAGTGGATTAGCTGCGTGCGTTTTTGCAAAATATGTTTGGTGACTGTGGTGTATCTTCAGGTCCGTATGGAGAACAAGTTGGACGAGCACGAGCTGCTTCGTGTACAGCTGGAGGCGTTGGATTACCAAGAGAAGCACGGGGTGTTGCTGACAGAAGGAGATTTCTATTACCGCTACCCTCAGTCTTTCGACCCCTCAGCGCGGCCAAAACCTGATGGAGAGGATGGGCAGCCGCAATGGGCTCCCTTTAGAGAGCAGGGCATTGCGGGCCCCTCTCTCTCTACAGTTCAGGCTGCTGGAGGACAGGGAGGAGGACCCATCTACGGCGCACAGGACGGAGGGGAAACTCAGAGCCAGTGGCAGAGTTGGCTGCAGAGGCAGAGGAGGCGTGGCTGGTACTCCTCTACGACTTTAGTATATTCAACGCTCTTTGGGGCCGTCGTGGGGGCCTCAAACTTCACTACCTACTGGCAGCAGCTGCAAATCTGGAGAAGCTCTATGTTTTTCCTACCGTACCTGCTGTTCCTCTTCACTGTTGGGCTGCCGACGCTTCAGTTAGAGGTGCGCAAGCTTGGTGCTGCATTTGCTGTACAGACAACAGACCGCTCTGTAGCTTTGCAACAGATTGCAACGCACATAGTTGGGTTGCCAGCAAGCATCGAACAGGGAGGGCCTGATGGGGTTTGTGCTTATCTTTTTTGCAGCTCGTTCTTGGGAATCTCTTGCGTGGCGCTGCTATCAAGCAGAACACGCAGCTCAGCCGTTGGCTGGTAGGGCTGGGCATTTTGCAGGTGTTGACATCCTTATCATTTGTCATTATCACTGCGGGTGAGAGAGCGACAACCTCTGAATCTTGTCAATAGCAAAGCTTTTATCTTCTCGTGTGTGTGGGAAGTGGGTGGCAAGCTTTCTGTTTGCAACTCAAAGCGTTTGCGTTTGCGCATATCATATATTCTTTATTGGAAAGAATGATCTGTTTTCATGCTTTGCCTACGATCAAGCTGTCGATGTTCGGGTTGCTGGTTTGTTCGCTTCTGGGTTTCTTTCTCAGTTTTGAGTGGGCAGCTACTGATTTACTTTGTTTCGAGCTTTTCTAGACCGCAGCCCTGGCAAGTCACCGTGAGCGATATGGAGCTTTGCAACGGCTTTCATGGAAATAAGGTGGACTGCAATGCAGCTGGCCATGGGGTGCTTTGTTCTTACGTCCCTGACACCAACATCTGCATTGCTTCTCCCACCGGCAAGGTGAGAGAGAGTTCATTCCTGTATGTTGGTGCATGCTCACATTTGTAGATTGTTTTCTCTCTGAGCGCCTTAATGCATCCACGACACAAATTTTGGCTGGAGTGCAGCGTTCACCGTTAGCATGTAGCCGCGCTTCCTGGCTTCTGTAGGGCAGGATAAAATAAAGGTGAATAACATCTGAGGGTTTGTTTGCAGGCAACGTTGCACTATCTGGAGGAACTGCAGCCATCCACACTCGACAGCAGCCTAGATCCCGATGCATTAAGACCAAAAGCACTAGCCACTCTGGCTTTCGTGTGGCTGTACATCCTCGCGTACATGTGGAGAGGCCTGTTTAAAGCTGGGTTCCGTGAGTGTTTTCGTCTTTTCACCACTTCGGTTGTACTTGTAGTTCGTGGTGGAATTAATACTAGACAGCAGCATCATTCCGTTTCCTAAGTTCTTTGCTTGTATTACGTATGGGGATTTGTGTCTTGCGCCTGAATTCAGCTTCTGCTATCTTGATGATCATCGCAATGGTCCTTTGCGCAACTCTGGCCGCTGTTTCCTTCTTCGTGGGAACCGATGGCAGCGTGCATGTTGCCTCAGCGATTTCTGCAACCTTTGACTGGCGACCTCTCATCCACGGTTTCTTTGATGCAGCGTATTCTGCTTCGCTTGTTCGCTACATATGCCAAGATCTTTGCCTCGGCTGTTGCATTTTAGGCACTGTTTCGAGCTACACAAAGTCAGGCAACCTGCTGGACATCCCCAGTGGAGATCCCTTTTCCTGTATTTTGCTGGTTTGCCTGCATCTTTTTCATAGCTTTAGCTGTTTATCAGTCGACGTAGCTACGTGAGGTGTTTGTGAGCGTGCCGTCATTACAGGATCGGCTTCAACACGTACCCCAGCGGCGTATTTACGTGCATCGTGGAGTTCCTGATGGCTCTGGTGCCTTTTGTTTCTCTCCTGTCAATCGTCGGGAATCTCCAAGTATACCCAAGCATTCACACTGATTTATTCTCGGCTGCTGCCCTCTCCCGTCCTGTTCGCTTCAGTCCGTAGGGCTTTCCACTTGTACTTACGTAACTATATGCGGCTTTGGTTTTAGTGGTAGTGCCTTCCGCCCATCCAAGAAGCGTTGCTTGTGTACATTCCGTTGTGTTAACAGGCGGTCACTGATATTCCTCTCGCTGAAATCATAAGGAAGACAGGCACCGCCCCCGCCTACTTTGTGGTTTTCCCTGCTGCCTTCGAAAAAGTTTCCTCTCCTTACGTAGGTATTGGGCATGGCGTGTTTGCAATTGGCACTTTCCTGCTCTGTCCCTGATTTTTAGCGGTGGTGTTAGGTGGGACTGCAGTGCGCGTCTTGCAAGTATCCTTGCAACTCTGCTGCCGTTTGGAGTTTCCGCTGCTGGGAGGGTGCTTGAAGCTTTGAGCTTGGTTGGAAGGTTTCTGTTGCATACTTCGGTGCCCACAAAAACCCTAGGTGGTGAATGCGACTATGTGCGGTCTCCTTGCAGCTGTTCGGCCTCTTTTTTTACGGAGGCGTTTTCCTAATCAACACGCAAGTTGCGGCTATCGGAATTCACTCTGTTTTTAACGCCGTTCTGGTAGGCGCACAGCTGGCCAATTCAACTGCATAGCTCGAATGTAACCTTTTCATTGCTCGGTGTTGTATACACCATGGATCTGGTGGTTCGTTGACATCACATTGACGTGCTGTTTCAGAGATTGTGTCTTCAAGTTGTGGACTAGTAACTTTGAAATGTTCTTCCACAGGAATCACGCCTCGTCAATAATTGTTGGCGGAGGGTCACGAGCACAGTAATTGTGATGATCTGTTACTGCATTTCCCTCCCCTTCTGCGCAAACAACCAAGAAGTTGTAAGGGGCGAAACCACTGTATCGAGTGGATTGCGCAATTTAGAATTGAGCATTACTATATTCGCATCACCAGGAAACTGCGAACATGAAATACGAAATCGTATCTGCATCCAGCCTTCGTGTGTTTTTCTCTGGTACTTTGGCTGTGCACGCAGAGACTCCAATACATGTCCTACATCGTAGAATGGCTACTTGTCCCTATTTCTGTTTTCTGCACGACGTTCTACGTTGGATGGGTCATGGGTTTTCAGCGGCAGGCAACGATTGTTGGTCTAAAAGGTAATTATGGTGCCAGAGAGCTGCATTTCATACCCACAAGACTAAGCTGCTGTCTTGTTGCTTAGTCCATTTGTTATGTAGATTGCTGAAACTGCTCCAGGCATGCACTGTGCTCACTTTGCTTTGAGTGTCTGCGCGAATGTGCTTCCTGCAGCGTGTATCCTTTTCGGTGGGTTGTGCTCCATCGTGGGGGCGTGCTACATTATTGCAGTGTTTTGCTGCCAAGATAGCGTCTTCTTGCCCACCTGGGTGATGATTTTCGTCAATGCTTTGATTGCCGTCGGCGTAGCCGCATTCATAAAAGACCCGGAAGCGCAGGCCAAGACCTTTAAGGTGCGGCTTGACTCCCATGTCATTTAAATATGCTGGTGTTGCAATTTTCTGAGATGCAAGCGTCATGCCACATCATCACGGATACCGCTCCTTTGCTCAGTCTCGCAATCTGTATCACTCTTTGAAGTTTGTGAATTGGTTAGTGGGGAGTGCGGTGGTGCGTCTCTGCTTTAGGAACGTTTCCTAGCATTGTACTTGGGCGGAGTGCGGGATCTGTGCAACGAGGTCTCGCGAGTAACCCTCTTCTTCCCTCAGCACAACATGGCTGGAACATCTGTTATTGGCCTTCTCCCCACACTGTTCTGTGGTTGCTTGACGAGACCATTCTTTATGTTCCGCCCATCAACGTACTGGTGTGTGTGTATCAAGCACTTGGTACCTTTTGTCATGCTTGTGACAATTTCTGACGGTAAGGACAATTGCACGGTTCTCACTCGCAGCTTTTGCCCCTTCGGCAGCGCAGTAGTTTGCGTATAGTCTTTGGTCTATAGGTGCTTCTGTGTGGATTAGTGGAAGTAGATACAGGTGCTGCGTGGGAAAGTTGTCGACGCAACCCTGTTCGCCGCTGTACACGGCCTTTGTGTCTGTGGTCGCTGCAGCATGCCATCGCTTCGACATGCATTGGGATTCGATGAAGAGGTCGCCCAACATGAGGAATTTCGGCGCTGCTTTGCTTGGGATGGCAGCATTCTTCTTCGTTTTAACGCCACTAATCCCCAAAGTGCGATTGCTCTAGTTGCTAGATGCTTGTGCTGGCAGTTTCGTGCGAACATCGACTATTTGGTTCTTGACAGCTACCCTTGTGCCTCAGTCGTTGCATTTGCCGGTGCGGCTATCACCCAGTAATCTCAGGCGTGCTTGCGATGGGCGATGATTCAGAAGCCAACGCTGCCGTGCTGCCTTGCTCGGTTAAGCTTGAGATATACTGGGGTTGTGTGCTACTATGTGCAGGTACGAGACTGGGTGAGGCCTGTTGCCGAGGACTACATGTCAACCTTGGCATTTCCAAGCCACCCGTTCGTGCCTTGGCGCCGAATGTCTCTCTTATCACTGATGCCCACACTGTTTCGAGAGCATCTTGCTCGTTCGACAGAACCCTCGGCAATTGTCAAGAGCCTCGTGCTCGAGTACAAGAAGCAGAGGCTGCCTTTCATGACCTCCTTCCCCGCAGAAGGCGGAGCTGGCCTTTCGGAAGTCGAACTAGCTCTGCAGCAGCCACGCCTTCGCGATAGCTTAGATCTTCAGCCGAGGCAGCAGCAAACCCAGCAGCTATCCTTCGGCAGCAAGACGTCAGAGGACAGTAAGGAACCCCCTCATTAGGGATCCCCCATAAGGAACTTTCAAACACAGCGCCGCACACATTTTGCTCATATCACCCGATTTTCCTGTTTGGCCCCCGATCTCTAGTTGGGAATGTTTTGTTTGCGGTTCTTCAGGGAAGCTGTGAGGAGTTGCGTTGGGTTCGAAAGATGCTCTTCCCTCCGGGAACGATTTATTGTATGTCGGACAAGCCATTAGAACTTCACACAGAGGGTTTTGCTTTGCACATCCAGTTTTCGCAGTGCCACCGCTAACTGGCGCGAGTGCCACGTTGCAGTGTTTCAGACACCCGAAGTAGATGAGGTTCGCTGTAGTGTATTCTGCACATTCGGCAGCACACCAAAACCTTCCGGGACGGTCGCCTTGTACGACAGTAATTCTCTCGCGAGTATCCAGAGCCCTCAACAGCAGACTTTCAACACGACATGTTTGAAGTAGCGCGTCACGGCTGCGCATCCGCTGGAGCTTTTCGTGAGGTAGACCGGTACGAAGGGCTTGAGTGCGGTTCGACTGGGAAATTTGTTTTTTCCTTTATCAAGATAGATATGTATGCACGCGGCATAAGCAACGCCGCGCACAAGCTATACAATAAGTGTAAGGTTAGCAGTAATTATTGAGGAGTTCTTCAGAATATAGGAGGCTGAAAGAGAGGTTCATCTGCAGTTTTGGGCAAGAAGCCACCTATCCTTAAGCAACATACAGGGGGGTGGCGACCAGTTGGGGAGGCCCGTTTGAGCCTCGTGAGCCAAGTTGCTCCTGCATGCAGCTTGCGCGCTGCTGCAAAAGGTATTTGCTGCTGTGTAACTACGCAGCAGCAAGGGAGCGTCTGGTGGCGTTCGCAGCCACACACTCCTCAAGCCTGTTCCACTGTTGAGGTCACGACCCCCCAGCGGATAGCCTGGGTGGGGGCACTGCATGCCCGCGAACACGTACGTAAAAGGATACCCGCGAAAGCAGTCGCTATGGTATTTCTACGGGACGGCAAGCGATGCCAATTAATACGTTTCAGTCTCGACTGGTACTGGAGACAGCCCCTTGTTCCTGTCTCTGGTTATGGAGACAATACCGCTGTGTCACAAAGTGCCAGCAACCACATCCTGTAGGACAAGCGCACAAAACAAAGTTTCATAGACTAAACGATCAAGTGGAAGCTTAAAGCCATGCAGCAGCAACATGGTGCGGGCGCAGCAAGATGCAAGCATGACGCCCACGGAGAAGTTCCACATCTTGCATTTTGCTCTAATGCGACGAACATTATACGATCAGATCCTGATTAACCAGCTTTATCAGTTGTTTATGGCTTACTTCTAGAGCAGCCCCAACTGCGTACGCCACGGTTCCTGCGCAAGTCCCATTTATTATCATTAAAAGGCCTGACTTGAGAGGGCTCTGGTTAACGAAGCGGCCCTGCGGAATCGAGATGGCAAGCAGCGAATACTGTTGCTCTTCGCTCAGTATCACAGACTGCCAAAACTTGATGTTCCTTTCTGCGGCAGTGCACGATAGCCGAAGCGTTGATAACATGCACATGGCGTAATCGGAGCACGGGCAAGAGAGCAGGTGCGTGCGTCATCTATCATGAATATATGTAAATATGCTTTAATTCATATATAATATGCAATATATGCGTAGAATGGAAAAGTGAAGGCTAATCCCACTTTCTGTAGGCACCTACCTTCAGGAAACCCAGGATGAAGAGCGCAACTCCTGATATAACGCACGCCATGGCGAAAGCGAAGTGGCCGTCCGTGCTGATGCCTGACAACGTCAGCCAGGCCACAAACCCAGCCAGCGGCAGCAGTCCGAAAATAGAGAAGGCGGCGAACATGACTGCTCCTGCAAATCAGCACAACATGAACTCCAAGAGCCTTCTTTCAAGTTTCCCTCGGGGCATGTCATACGAAAACTGGACTCAGCCGAGTCTAAACACACACACGGCAGTTGTAAGAAGTGATCTTCCCCGTACAAAGCCATATGCGACACCACAAAACTGACACCGCTCCTAATGGAAATTAATTACATCTTCGTCACAATTATAACGGAGAACAAAGGACTTAAAAACCGTGCTATGAAAAAAATGTCGAGGTTTGACGCTTTACCTCGCCTTAAGGGACTGGGGCCCTCAGTTACCATCAGACCCAACTCTTCTACCATCATGTGCTGCACAAAAAACTCGCGATATTTGAATGTGATGTTGACGAGACAATCCGCATCTTCATCTGTGAAGCCGTAGCGATCCCGATAGATCTCAACCATTTCCTGTTTCTCCTCATTAGGGCAATTTTCTATCTCCCTACATCAAAACACACAATTAACACTACAGGAACCAATAATATGAATAGCAGTCTCGCTAAGTGAGAGGGTGACGTGCGTGGAGGCAAACATGAAATAGTTAAGGCAACGAACTGCAATGTATTCGATGCATGCAATTCTTGACGAGGTCTCTACAGTGTAGGGGTCTATAAAATGCAGTGAGATACCACTCTTCTCTCTCCCGTTCGCTCTTCACAAAATCTTCTTCTGCTGCAGAGCTGACAAACTCGCCAAAACCCATGCTGATTGCATCCGCTAAGAGGTTCCCAATGCCGATGATAACGACCTTCGAGGGATGCAAGTTGGCACCGACGCATCCCGCAACAATGGCGAAGATTGTTACGATACCTGCAACAAAAGATTCATGCCGCGTTCCACCTACACCTAAAACCATTTAAAATGCAGAATATAAGGCCGCCTGCTGCCTCAACTTTAAGGGGGGTTCGCAGCAACGTCCAGCCTGAGACATGATGGGCCGGAGCCTCCAGGAGCGGCAGCTCACCATCAAGACCTCCAAATACAATGGCTTTTAAATAGTCCGAAGACGTTTTCTTGTGCGCTTCTGTGTGACCAGATGACAGCCCATCGTAGCTGTTCTGCTGATGGTTGTGCTGATGGGCCTCCCTGCAGACAACGCATTACTGCGGCGAGCATTCTCTTGCTAATCTATTATGTATGTTATTAAGACAGCCCACCAATTGTGCGCATGGTGGCAGTAAACAGGCGAATTTTTGTTTCCTCAGGGGATTTCACAATATTTGTCTCCGGATGCAACGACCCTCTTTCGCTTGCCTTGTGGCGTCTACGTCTCTTGTTTTGTAGGCCAGACGAGCTTTGTCGAGATCTCTGTAAGGTATTCCACCTTTTGAGCAACACGTCTGGTGAACGGCTGCGAAGCACGCGGCCTCAACGGCCCCAGGATCCTCCAGGAGCGGGAGGGTTTTGTCCTGCTGCATATTCCCTCGCGCCAAATGACTTCCGGTGTGAACCCGCTTCGTCAGGTCCCCTTCTTGGGCCTTCACTATATCCGTTCTAGCAAAGTATTATACAAGGAGGCTGCTTGAGAGACGTCAACAACCGCAACAGGGATCTATTCTAACCCCCGTCCTAGCCGAAGACGCCCTTGAGGCGCTGTGCACAGCTTCCCATAGAAGAGTCGCAGCTGATGTACTAGTCTTCGGCTTCAAATCATGCTCTTGAGCATGCGACGCAAACAGCGGATGGTATGGCTTTCTGCCTCTAAGCAGATTACAGATTAAGGCAAGTACGTGCACAGCTGGAATGCCGTCGCAACTGTAGTGCAAGAATCAGGAAAGCCTGCAGATTCCTCTGGAAGAGTCATCACCTGTTATGATAAACATAATTTAGTGAATTATTATATTGAAATTCGTCGCGGCACCCCTTGACCCGGCCAGGCCACCCCTCAGCCCCACAGAGGCCGGGTACCTTGGCCACTCATTTCCCAAGGGTACGGCACTCACTCTCCTCGTTAGCATATTGAAATGCTTTATTTGAATGAATGTTCCGTTCATTGTTTTTGTATTCGGCCGAATTACTCAAAACTAAGAGGGAATACAAATAACTGCGGCCACACATTCTCACTAAGGTCCGTTTGTCTCACCAGACATCGCCACCAGGTTGCCCAAGCCGCCGAGGCATTCAACCAGTTGAAATTCAGGAATTTGGCATATTGTTTAGTTATGCCTGGTTTGGTGGCTTGACGGCGTTAAGAACATGCACCGGGCTCCCTGAGGGAGTGAGTTGATGAATTGCGCTTGCCTTTCGCTCTTCGTTCGGTTTGTTCCTCGGGCTGTTATGAGCTGTATCGCCTTCCAAACCTACTCTAACACGAGAAGCTGCAACAGAGAAACTTTTTGCTGGCCCTTCTTTAGGGTTGCCAAGGGTTTCTGCTCCGACTAACGCAGTCGGGGGGATTTCATGTTTTCTAGGCACCAGCATTAACAACGTCAACGCTCCTCCCAGAGGCAACAGAACGGGAATACTTTTGGAGGCCTCACATATGTTGTGCAGCAGGGCAAGCATACCGCCCGCGCTCACACTTGGCTTGGAATGGGGCACGACGATGTTACGCAATTACACTAGAGAATGTCACACAAGAATGCTACGGAGTTACACGAGAATGTCCACTGTCTGCTCCGTACATATCTTTTCGCAGCAGGAGAACTTCAATTCTGTGGCATCTTTGGGTTGCCCAAGAGGCTTTACTACTCGAGAAGATGCGGAAGCGTCCGTGCTCGCCTGTCACACATAGTCAGAGGAAGTGGGAAAGGTGACGTGGCAAGTTTTGAGATCATTCTGTGGAGGCATGCATAGCTTATTCTCCATTTCCGTTTTGTTGTTCCGTATAGTGGGACACTTAGCAATAATGAGTTGTCCTTTGAACTTACTGCGCCCATAGATGAGCTTGCCCTAGCGCGTATTTAGCTCCTAGATTGCTGGTAGGTGCGAGGCAACAGCCAGAATACCCGAGCTGCAGTGGATGAGGGGTCCTTGAGGCACATGGAATTCGGGCTTATTACCGCCCTTTTCCTGGATTGAATGGGGGGAGGCGCAGCGTCGTTGGATTGACATTATTATTCCCTTATTTTACGTTTCACTGGTGTATCTTCACAAAGTACAAAAGGTTGTACAATAATGCACAGTTAGAACGCCGGCTTCTGCAGGATTGTGTGAATGACAGTTGGAGGTTTCGGCTAACCTTCCTAGTGCCAGATCCTGGGCATTTCCACCGTTTGCCGCTGCTACACAGACGGGCACGGACGTCTGCGCATCTTCTCGAGCAACGAAGCGTCTTGGGCAACAAAAAATGCCACGATATTGAAGTTTTCTTGTTGCGAAAGGCAGTTCAGAGCTGCTTCGTTTCGTTTATCTGCCTGATCTACGTCGTTATCATGCTACTTAGCTACAGGTATATAACCCACTTGAGGAACCTGCTTACCGAGAAAATTGCAGCGACGTGCCGCTTGTTTTGTGGAAGTGGTGTCGCATTAATACTGTGCAAAACCCTGGCTCGTTGGTGTTCTCTGCTGTTTGACGTTAACTGGCTTCTGGATAGTCGAGGCATTGCCAAATCACCTTCATTTCCCACGGCACCACGAGGCCAGAGAACAGAAAGCTTCGGTCAAGTGCCGTGTATAGTGTGTACTCTGTAGGGGGAAACTTGAGTACGTGGGACTTTCTTGACTTCGGAAGCACATACCAACTAGAACAGGTTTGTTCCTGACTCTAGCATCAATCACTTAGATACCGCCACATATGGCAAGAATGAATTGCTGTTAAGCATGTTATCTGTTGAAATGCTTGTGCTCGAAGGTCTACTGTGTGCATCTCCGGAGTGAGTAGTATGGCCCTGTGTGTGAGCGGCTGATCGCCTTTTGTGTCCTTCAATCCTCTAGATGACAAACTCGGAAAAGAAAGAGGGTCGAGGTGTAAATTAACACGGGGGAATTTCTGTGGCAATAGTTTGAGTTATTCTTGCTTCCTGAATGGTCTAGGAGCAGTTCAAGCGCCAGACTATGGACTCCCTGGGTGTTTCTAAGTAATTCTAGAGGGGGTCTACAGAATGGTCAGACACTTCACTTTGTTGGAACATGCTGCAAAAAAGTGCTCTTCGTGGTTTGAGAAAAACTAGCACACCCTGTCTCTTGTATGAAACACCTGCATACATGAGCCACGCGCCGTGCGCCAGTACATACTTTGACAACGTTTTCCAGCTGGTGGCGGCTTACGTTTTTGCCGAATGCGTCTCCAAGCACGAGAAAATTCCCGGTATTTATAAGCTCAACATTGAAAAAGGCAGTTTCTGATTTGTCCAGTGAAAAAGGAGGCGCGCTAACAGTGGTATTCGTGCGAATCAAGTAAATTCAGGCCAGATGAGAAGCCAACGCAATGTGGGATTTGCGATAAGTTGATTGTACTGCAGGCACTATCTCAGTGGCTTCACTGAAAATGCAGTTTTTTGTTGCGCCGCACATTTATGCTTATGGCTACGGGTATGTCTGCTTGCTAAAGACTTCCTGCAGCTCTTGTAGCAAGATGCAACCGTCGTTGTCAGCATCTGCCTGGCTCAAGAGCTCTTGGGCAATAGTGGAGGTCATGTTGGCCTCCTTGAGCGCTCGCGATATGTGCCTAACGCATATGCGCCCGGTGTTATCGGAGTCCATTTGCTTAAATGTCTTTAAAACCTCTTCTGGAGAAGATAAGTCCGATGATGGAGTCACAAGCTGCATGAATTCAGGAAATGTGACTACTCTTCGCCCGCCGGCGTCTATAATGCCAAGAATTTCGGCCAAAGCGGAGCCTTTCACGTCAAACCCGGCAGCCTGATAATACCCAGGTTCGAAGTGCCGCAGTAATTCTCTTTTTATGAATATGCAATAGTTACTATAGGTACTGTGGCTGCTTACAGGCAGGCGTGGATTACTAGCCGTGGCGGTTGTTTTCTTTGGGCCTTTTCGTATAATCTTACCACAAGTCGGCTTTTGAGCTCTTTCAAGGGTATGGTGCCACTCCCGTCGATGTCGCAAGCCTCAAAGAGAACCCTCATTGCCATGACTTCGTCTGCTTTCATTAGAGGACCCTCGTAAGCGGAGGCGTCAAATTCCGCACCAGCCGCGGTGGACAACTGGAAGTTCATTTGCTTCCCTCCTGTCATTTTCAGGACTGTTTCTGCCCTTGCGGTTGTTTTTGCCTGCTGTGGCCAAATTGATGGTGCAGTTTTCTGGCGGAGTGCTCCCTACCGCCGAGGCTGATAATTGCGGAAGCTGTAGGGCCACGTTGTCTAGGATTGCTGCATCAGCCAGCGTATATGCTCATTCGAGAACATGGATGTACGCAGGGTACGGCGGCTCAACGGTTGTGGAAAAACCTTCGCAACCCTGTTGATCTTCTGTGCCTCCACTGCTGCGGCAGGTGCGGTAGACTACAAGCATTGAAGAGTTGCAGAAACGAATAAACACTACAAGCATTGAAGAGTTGCAGAAACGACTAAACACTACAAGCACTGAAGACTTGCAGAAACGACTGAACCACTGTAGTAAAACTGAACCACTGTAGTAAAAAGCTCAAGGCGTGGTACTTCGCATCCTTCCGTAAATTGGGAAGGATGGGTGGCTGGCACTTCAAGTCCCTCTGGACGTGCAAGCTAGTGTTCTGAATCAACGCAGATGAAGATTTGTTCCATGCTGAGGAGATATGAAAATTAAAATGATCCCTGCGCTTGTTTAGGGATGAGCCACTTCCACTCAGTGGGACTGGGCGGGGTCGGTGCACTTGCGTCATGAAGATCTGCGCGGTGGGTCACTCCGTTAGGGCAAAAGCCTTTTTAAAAATTGTCTCATTTTGGGTTTCACTATTCAAAGACCCTCCATTCGGTATATTGTACCGAGAAAGGTAGGTAGCGAGCACCGGCTGGGCTGTGCTGCACTGAATGCGGCCAGATGAAGCCGGGGTGAACGCAGTGCTGCTTCATTCATCTTGGAATGAAATATTTGCAATAATTCTCCGAGACAAGTGCAACTTAGAAATGGTACAAATCAGTGAGTAAAACTACGAGTGAGCTGGAACGGTAACAGGTTACGACCGCTGCGCCTCAACGTACTCGCCGGACAGCGCTCTGCCTCGCACGAGTTGTTCGTGCAGGAACGGTGGTAGCTGCCAAGGAATAAATCAGTGCTATAAAAACAGAGAATTTTTTATATTTAACAGAAGAGGAAAAATATGCCTTTATTGCTTTGCGGACTCCGGACAGCCAAGAGTTGTGCCGCTGTGCGATGCGGTGTTCACCGTGTGGAGGGCCGGACGAAGGCTGCGCCCACAGTAACGAGAATCTCCACGCCCCGTGTATCTTTGCGGCTTATGCTGTTCTATCAATTTGTGAACCATTGAAGCAGCCCGCTGTCTTGGAACGCCCTCCTTATCTATGCTGAATGAGAATTGCTGCCGAGACGCAATATATCAAATCTGATTTCGCGCTGCGTATGGGCGATGCTTCCGCTTTTCGTTCCTCAGGCACGCACACACCCACTCACGTATTCAAATTGTGGGCCATTTCCGCCCATTCAACACCATTGTTGAGACCCCTTTGTTCCCCGCACAACCGAAGAGCAGTTGCGTCATCGCGAGCCCCCATGGCTGACTTGGACACTTGCCCCAGAAGCACAATTGTAGAGTCAGTCTCCTGCAACGTTACAGGGCTGACAAGCTTCTACTCCCCCCATGGAACGGCGGAAACCAACACACCCAGGGATCGCCAATATGAGAGAAATGCAGAACAAACCCAAGAGCACAGCCAGGAGTTTCTCCAGTACACTTCCGATCAATCTAGGGAGATGCTTCATGAAGGTTTTGTGGACAGTCACCAACCATACAGCGAGCCTATAATGGACAAAGCCTGCGGGTCTGCTAAGGGGGAAGTGGTTCAGGCTGCTGCTACTTTAGTCAGTGTGGTTACTGATGTACCGCAACAAGGTGAAGGATCCAACTGCTGGCACCGGAATAAACTTGTCAGTGGGACAAGCAGTGAAGTCCTGCGAAATTCATCTGTGCCGCCGGAGTATCACCGGAGAGCAAGCCTGAATGAGACGGCGCCGATCCTTGGAAATAAGGCATATGATAGGGTATCTCCCACACGGCTATTTTCCACGTTCTCCACGCAGCACGTTTCCCGAGACCTTCAGGTGCGTTCTGAATCATCAGGCCAGCGTAATAGTAGGGTGTTTCAACAGCCGTTGCTGCAGCAGGAAGAGGTATTGCCATCAAAACAGCCGCCAATTCAGAGTGCACCAAATGTGTCGCGATGCCTCCACAGTAACAGAGAGTGGGCATCTGAAGGTCACTCCTGGCCCAATCAAGGTGTTGCAACGACGCCAGTTGCCAGGTTTTCGGCGGAGACAAACCCGGAAGAACTGACTGCAATTCATGGAGTCAGGCTGCGCCCGAATAGCCCGTGCAAAAGCAGCGAAAACTCTGCAACTGCCAAAGATTTAGTAATAAACGCACTTTGTGACCAAATCCAGCATCAACAATGGAAGTTAAGAGTTCAGGAAAGTCGTTTGCACAACCAGGAACAACGCCTTCATGAGTTAGAGGCTCTTGTGAGCTCACTGCAGGCGCAGCAGGAGTGGAAACAACGCCACCACCAACAACAGATGTGCCACTTGCTTTCAAGACCACGCGGATGCCACCCTTTATCTAGTGTAGAAGCCGTCAATGACCTTCCGTCGAGTTCCTCCGGGATTCCACGAGTCACCACCAACCCATCACTCATTGGTATCAAGTAGACATCCTGCTACAGCGATTCCCAATGAGTCAACATCAAGAATTTTATGGAACTCCAGAGTAGCATTCCCGATTCCGATCTGCTGCTATTTGCTTTCTGTTTCCATTCAGGCTCTCAGTGGGCAGCAGGCATCCTGGAGTCGTCCCCAACCCATCCAGAAAGACAAGGGATGCGCGGCAACCCTGCAGATCACCAGTGGTTACGGAGCAATACCGTAAGCAGCCAGTTGCTTCTGTGGAATATAATGCATGGTGTTGTGTTTGATTTTTTCTTGACTCTTCGTTGAGTTGAACCATACTGTGGTGGCTTCAAGCCCTCTCATGCATAATTGCAACGTAGTATAGTGATGCCGGTTCTTAGCCATGAGGGGCAGCACCGGATGCACCGATTACTTGAGGCATTGCATTGCCAGAGTCAGCATCTTCATTGGGGCAACACGTGACTCCTCCTGTGACATGCGGGTAGGATCAAGCGCGGGGAGATATAGGACCAGAGGACTGCCGTGAAGGAGCTCGCAAGAAGTCTCCATTTTGCTGTTTCTAAATTTGTTGAGGGGCAGTGGCTCAGATGCAGCATAGGCTGCCTGCCCTTTTAAGCTTAGTTGTAGCTGGCCTGTTGACGGTGGCAGTGTCGTACATGGGTATGGCCAATCTCTTAGCCAAGACGCCATTCGAATGCTATTTTATCCCTCCCCACTCTTTCCCGCTCCCATACCAGTCTTGCTTAGACAAACCCTTGAAGGGCAACTCCAGTGCAAGCGGTGAGAAGGAATCTCATTTGTGCTGGCTGTGAACAAGAGTGGCTGGTTAATTTTGACCTGCCTCCCGAAAGTGTCCCTGTAGGGATGTTTTGAAGGTGGATGTGGAATACTATTCCTGTTCATGACGTGCGCTAGACTTCAAGCGGCAAAGCAATGAAAACGCCGCACGGATGGCGGCAGCACAACGGTGCTGCAGCTTTCCCATAGAAATACGAAAGCACCAAGTCGTGTTCATTTGCTGCAAACCCTTTTTAAAAACTTGCCCGGGCGGGGTAGCAACTTAGGACAAACAAGGCAAGCCAAAAACGTCCTGTTTCCGCGTCCGTTGCTTCGCAAGCACAGGCTTTCAACCTGTTCATCCACTAGCTTGCGGTCTCGCCATTTCAGCAACAATACAAAAATCAGAAAAAAACAGTAACCCGCTTCGAGGACTATGCTAGACAGGTGCGACGAAGAGTCGCGAGCTTTTCATTCTTGCAGTTCCTTCGTCAGCCATCCGTCTGCGGAATGCTGCACTTTAGAGACGTTTAAGTGGCGTAGCTTTCATCGTCATCTCCAGAGTGGCATTCAACAGGAGAGGATGTTGAACTACAGCAGACGAGTTCTGAGAGGCGAGTGCACAGCCTTGCCATCTCAGCCAGCACCTGCGGCTCCGACAAGAGTTCCACGGCCTCTCGCGTTAAGCTTGTAGGACTTGCAGGAGACTGAATATTCTGAGACGCCCTACGAACGCCTCCAGTTCGCTGTGGCTGGGGTGTTACTGCTGGCCGCCGAGTTGTATGCTTCGCCAGGCATAAACGCGTTGACGATGAACGGCGCGAGGCCAGCTCCTTCGATTGCAGAAGGGTATGCTTCTTCAGGGGAGGCTCACGAGGCCGCTTTGATGACGTGGCATCAATACCCCCATTTGTTGGTGACGCGGCTATATCTGCATCAGTCTGAGAAGAGCTTTCAACGAGATCTTCTGAACAGGTGGCAGCTGCGAGCGATTCCTTTTCTCTTGAAACGTGCATTGCATCTGCGGTGCCAACTGACTCAGGCGGCTCGCATTTCGCTGTACCTGCAGCAGGTAGGTTACCATGTTTTGCATCCAGTATCTTTGCTGCCTTCTGCGAGTCTCCAACGGAAGGCGGCTCTCCCGGTGCTGCTGGCACGCGCCACTGTGCTTGTCCGAGGGGCCGCAACGGCTTTGAACCTACAGCGGTCTTCTGCCCTATCAACGCCACGCGGGGTACTGAATTTCTTTCCGCAACATGCTTCTTCGCTTTTGCTTTTGTTGCAGTCGTCGGCGTAGCTGAACAACTTTGTGGCTGTGGGGGATCTACCGCTAAGCCACCACTCAGTTTGCAAGACTGAGGCTCTGGTGCTCGAGCTAGCAATTTCGCTTGGATTTTCGGGGAAGGAGGCAGGTCAGGTAAGCTCGTCGTGGCGGCCTGTGTGTGGCTTGCTCCGGAGCTTTCTTTTCTGTGACTTTCCTTCGTGTGGGAGAGTTCATCTATCTCCTCGGTGAGCACTTCTACACGTTCGTTCGTATTTTCGTCTTTGAGGCTGTTCCCAGGGAAACTCCTGTTCGCAGAGGAGGGCGACAATAGTGAGGCACAAGGGGAGCTTGGATATGGAGGCGTGTTCCTGCTTGACCCCGAGCAATCTTCCCCACCTATGTTTTGGTTCTCTTCACTTGCAGCTTTGCCCTCATGAATGGGGTTTCGAAAGGTTCTATCGGCATAGGAAGACTTGCCTTGGGATTGATTGCAGCCTTGAGAAGCAGCTGAACTTCTATCCTCCTTCACAGGAGCTGGGGTGGGAGTTGGAGAACCCGCTGTTTCTTTTTGCTCTTTGGAGTTGTTGATCTTTACAGAGGCAGAGGCATGCTGGAGTTTGGAACCCACGTGCACATGGTAACTTGAGACTAGATCAGGTCTCCCAGATAACCATATCGCAAGTGCAGCAAGTTCTCTGCAACGTTCTGTCAGCCGCAGATAGCGAAGATATCTTTCAGACGGTAGCAGAGGCATTCGGCATGCAGTGGCCCGCACTTGCTGCATCGCTGTGGACTCGAATAGGTCAAGTTCAGGGGGCCCGGCCGTGTCGCCAAAGCAGCAACCGGGTAACCTGAAACCTCGTCCTAGTGAACTGCCCTTGCCAAACCAAGTTCGTGAAGATTCCCTGACTGGTTGGCAGCTTGAGCACCGCTGTTGAGGCAAGGGCTTCTCTGAAGTGATGGGAAGGGGACTAGCCCGACGAGACGGCTTGCACCAGCTGCTGCACATATCCTCGTCTTGGCAACCCTCGAGGGTCTGGTCGGTAGAACATGTACTGCAGGAACAGTTACTAGCAGGTTTGTCACGAACTTTAAAGGAATGTTGCGTTATCTTTGGGATTACAACGGGTCTTTGTCTCTTCCGGAGCGAGTCCACAGCAACCGCTAGCAAGTAGTCAAGATAGTCGTCAAGCGGTGTACGAGGTTTGGGGGGCGGCGAGCCTAAATCACACGCGTAAGCCCTTCTGGATGCTTGTCCATCCGCTGAAACCATACGTTATGGTGTACTTAGTGATTATAGAAAAGAAAGCATATGCAGGACACAAAATGAACTTGACAGCCTCAGTTGTTAGTTTTAGTATGAAACGGGCATTGTGGTGTCACTTCAACAGAGTTTCCGCTCACCTGGCATTTCCGAAGTGTTGGTTGGAATGCCCTTGGCCTCAAGCAAATGCTGAAGCTTTTGCCCCTGTGTTTCAATGAACCCTTCTGTCTCTAAAAACGCTTGTAGATCATCTGGGGAGAAGTGACTGCGCGTCTTTGAACTCAGGAGTTCGCGGTGTTTGTTGACCCCGACGAATAGAGGCGGGACGACCTCCTGCCACGGGAATTTCTTGCTAGCTGTGATGGTGTTTCTCTCGACGGTATCTGCTGCTGAGTCTAGCCAGCGTGCAACTAGCAACATCTTACCGGGTCCATCGTTGCTTAGGTAGGATACTGTACGCTGGGTGGCTTCATCTCTGGCCTCTTGTGTAATCCGTCCAGAGCGCTCCAGGACATGTATGAGAGTTGCAGAATCCTGAATACCCCACCCCAGCCATCACAGCAGCATGGACACATTGGAAAATTTAGCTCAAGTGCATTTTCTGGTCGTCTTGTTGAAGAGAATAGTGTTAAGCGACCGGTTCGTGGTTCTGGTGCCAATGCAGCGCTTCCACTTGCCGCACGCTGCATTCCAGCTACAGTAGGACTTCCCCACGAAAGTGAAGCGCAAAAAGAGCGTCTGCAACACCTGTAACTGCAGGCCAAATATAATTCTATAGGCAACTAAATGCCCTGTAGCTCACGTCAATAGGCGGGGGGGACTTCGGGCCTTCCTTAAGAGGTAAAGTACATAGGCGCGAGAGAGGCCTAAGAGGCTGCTCCAAAGGCGGCAACTCCTTAAGTGTGAGATATGGGTATGGCGGCTCTGGTTCGGGCTCAGTTGCCGCTTGCTCTTCTTCACTTTTACTTCCTTGTCCTCTTTCGTCTTCTTCGTCAAGTCGAGCCATGCCCTGTGCTTCTGGCGTGGGAGATTCTTCATCCTTGTGCGCAACAAGAGTTTTGTCTTTCTCTTTCGCGTGTATTAACTTGACTGCCTTTCTTCTAGCACTGGTCTTGAAAGGAGCAGAAGAAACTCTGGGGGGAGAACTGCGGTCAGCCACGTTCCGCGCCCGTGGAGGAAACGTTGGTGCAATTTTGGCTTGTGTTGCCCTCCTCGGAGGAGGCACAGACATTCTCCGTCCCCTTGCAGATGGCGGGGAGAGCTCTCGAGGAGAAATAGACGACGACTTTTGGAGCGTTCTGCTACCTTTCCTCCCTATCTTTTTTGCGATTACAGGCGACACTCTTCTTTTGGCTCCGGCGGGCAGCTTCGGGCTGAGTGAATCGCCGTTCCTAGGAGTCACAGCCTGTACTGCGGCTCTTCGACCCTCTCGGGCTTTAGGGATATCTTTCAGGAGAGGAATCCTAGCCATCCCTTGGCTTTTAGCTCCTCCATTTAGTTCTTCCCCAGTTAATACAAAACGCCCGCCCTTGATCGCCGCCGCCGTGCTTTTGAACTTCGATACTGGCGCAGCCGTAAAACGCCTTTCGCGTTTTTCGGAAGAACCCGAAGGACCTTCTAGACTTCCTTCCACGCTTCGAATAAGCTTGCCCCCCTCCGCACTATGTTGTGGAGAAGCAACAGCGGCGAAAACTGTATGCCTCCTGGTAGATGTAGGTCTAGGCTCGCCAGGCTGTCGTCTCCTGCCACCTGAAGAAGGAGCTGAAGTTTTCGTTAAGCCTGGCAGTTGGCCACTGCGATCTACCGCCTGCGACTCTTCATGTGCCACGAGGCTCCCTTGACTCGCCAGAGCACTCCTACCGGACATCTCCTCATCCGAATTGCTGGCCCGCGGAGAGGGTGGCAAGGCTTCAACTTCTCGAGTGACAGAAAAGCGCACAGAAGACTGCGGCCTGTTTGAATTCCAGTCTACAAGCCCACATCTGCCTGATTCCAACTGCCTGCCAAGCCCCCAGTCCGGACAGTCCTCTGCAGTGCTATCCAGTGACGGAGTGGGAGCGGATTTGAGGCTCTCTTCTGAGTCCCCAGACCTCGCCGATGCAACAGGCTCAGTCCCTGACTCGTTGCTGGGCTGCCTGGAGGTAGCCCAGTCCACAGCGGTGAGCTGGAATGGCCTTCTTCCCGCACTGTTCTTTTCCATCAAAGCCGCGGGCGGCCGCGTTTTCAGGGGTCGCCTGTATTGGAGTGCGCCTTGAGGTAGCCGTGAAGCTACATGCATATATGACTTCCCCGTGCTAACTGAACGAGCAGGCAGAGGTTTATCATGCGAGTGCAACGGCTTCTCAAGTCCTCCCGATCCAATAGAATTTCCCACGTCACGTTTGGGAACGACACGGACTTTTGTAGACGAGGCACGCCTAAAATCACGATCCTTTGGCAAACGGTTAGGCGCATTGCGAGGTGCATCGGCAGGGCCCTCAGAGAATTGCAGACTCGTTTTTGGAGCCGCAGGGCCATCGTTGCTCCATTCCCTGGGTACATGCGCCGCTCCCCGAAGAGCGGTAGCGGGAGGAGTCTTTGACGGACTGGCCCGTGAGTAGTGAAGCGACGTCGGGCGCAAATGATGGTCTGTATTGCGTAGTGGAGCATTGGCGTGCACTGTCCTCAAGAAAGCTGTAGACGCAGGCATTGGAGAAGGCAGTTGGGCCTCACGTGTAGCTGATTGATGGGCCACAAAGGCGGAGCCCTGGAGACGAGAGGTGCTTGTCCTGCTGGTTGTAGCCAATTTGCCGAGGGCAGCGCTGAGAGGTACCAGCGGCATGACAACATGCAACAATTTCTGAAGAAGTTCTGGACGCTGGAGGAGGGCATCGGGTCGCCCTTCCTTCTCCAGCTGGTCCACAAGGTGTTGCAGCAGCATCCATGTGCGACGCTTTTGGAGATGCGGGATATCGGGGTCTGCCGAAGCATGCTTGTCAGTCCAGCGGGGTGATTCTAAATGGCTATCATAGCTGTGGGGTCCATCCTGCATGGACAAACCATCTCCAGCATTAAATACGCGTCTTGGGACTTTGCCATCATTGTCGGTGTGCGGTCTGAATTCCAGCATCTGCTGCTGGCGATGTGCAAGGCGCCTCTGCTCAGGAAGGTTCACACTCGATGCATGAGTGCGGCGGCTGGAGATTGCTTGCGATCGTCGGACGGATGGCCCGACAGACAAGGGCCGTGCTACAGGGCGGGACCTCTCATACTTGGGAACTTCGCGGACAGCTGGTGCCGCTTGATCTTCCTGGTAGATTTTGCTGCCTCCACTAAGAGCAGGCGAGGATCGGTTGGCAGCGCGTGCTTTCGGAGCAGTCCAGCTGAGCGAACATATCACTCTAGATTGATCTTTGTAACCCGGTGCTGCTTCTCTTGTTGTAGCCGCCGCTCTAGGAAGGGCTGCAACTGACGGCTGCCCGATCAACTGGCCCAACACACTGGGATGGGTTTGTGCATGAAGGACTGGAGAAAGTTCATTGTTTCCTTTTGAATGTTTGGAAGTCGAAGAAGAGACACGGTTTAAGCCATGGCGGAACCGATGAACACCGCTGTAGTCCTCCATCTTGCACGCGTTTTGCACTGCCCCGTGTCACATGCAGTTCCCCTACAAGTGACGTCCTCTCAGAAACCGCGGTTGTCTTAAAGTTGAAGTGGGAGTATATCTCCTGTTGAACAACCCCATCGAGGGGAAACAAGGATCAACTGTACCAACAAGTTAATTGCGGCACCGCGAGAGCATTCGCCCACCACGGACGCAGGTCACGGTGAATCGTGCCTCATTTGAGCCGGCAAAGTGCACTTCAAACCTCATTCATGAGTTTATCATTTTTTCTTTTGTCTGATGCACTAAGCAAAAGTAGTCGCTGGTGGTCGTCGTAGGCCTAGTTGGACCTGACCTGCGGCTTGTTTCGGCGGCGCCCCCGGTGGCATAGCGGCTCCTAAAGAAGTTATACCATCAACCTTTGGGCCCTTTGATATCTCCTCAACTTTTTAAAAGTACCGTAGTGCCTATGAAGCTTTGCTGAATAGTCGTGGGGCACAATAAGGGGAACGTGCAGGGTTTGCTAGCTGCAAGTCTTGCTTGGGCTCCAGGACCGTTGCCCCAAATGAAGGCTCCGTCTAGACTTTTCCCACAGAAGATAGGTCAAATTGAAAAGGAAAACAAGCATTGATCCAAATAATACGAACAGAGGAAGACATGCACCCCTATCAGACGCAACCTTCACATCGAGCTCGACGTCGATTCGCCAACGGACCGGTTCGCCAGCGCTGCGGACGAGCATGTGTAGAAGATTTCCCTGTGCACATCCTACATGCTTCCCCCCAAAAATTTGAAGTTTGTGGATGGGCAGGAAGTGAACGGTCAATATCGGTGAACGTAACAAGGAAAAACGAGCAGCTTCCCGTTATCCCCCAGCGTGTCTTTTCGACCGCCGTGATTAACACGGTGCAGGTTTCTACGCAAAGGTCGTCCGAATGCAGCGCCATGCTCAATTTCATAGTTACTAAGCTGCAACCTATTTCGGAGCTCCTCATGAAGTACCAGAGGGTCTCCAGTTGTGCTGGTGTTCGGTTCTTGTCGCGGCACGGCTAGCCTAGGAGGCATAATCAACCGAGCACTAAAACAAATGCACTGTCAAGGCAAATCCACACTTCAAAGTACCCTTCTCTACACTTCACAGAAATAATCCTTCACAGCATCTGATTCGATAGTTTCTACGTCTGGTCGGCAGGACGCTGAGCGGCTTTAGCTGCAGTTGACCACACGCGAGGCCTCACAAAAGTTAAACAATAAAAAGATATAGTCTGGTTAACTGGGGAACACTATGCTGCGCGGCATTCCCTGCAGCTGAGTGCGCCCGAGGCCTCAAAAAAGTTAATAAATAGATAGAGTCTGGTTAACTGTCTTCGAAGTAAAACGTAAATCTGTTCTGCTGCTCGGCGACTGACGCCAAAGCTCTTGACCCAGTATTGAAAGGAACTGCTAAACAACTGGTTGGCATGCGTACGCAAATCCCAACTAGGCAAAATTCAGTCCCGCCGAAACGTAGCTGATGCTCTCCAAGTTTTCGTAGTCACCAGCCACTTCTCATTATATGACCGATGTCGTGAAGGCGGCCCTGCAGCAGTCAAGATGCACGACAAGAAAAGTCTAACTTGAGTATTCGAACTCAGTTTCGGCGACACTGTCACGCCTTTCGGAGTATCTCGCAGCATTTGTCGTCATGGTAAGAAAGTTAGGTGACGGAGGTGTAGGAACGCTGAAAATGGAAAGCGTCATACCTTTAGACATGTCTTTGAATCAGCGTACAGTCGAAATGGCCTCTCCAATCGCGGCTCCGGATCAAACCATAACATTCTGAGAGCAGGCATCCATTGAACAGCGATCAGACCACTCATAACATTAAGGGCCAATCATAATAATAGTGATAAAATGGGCTGTGAGACGGAAAGACTTAAGAGCTGCCCCGAAATGTTCAGCTTGTGCAATGTTAAATAGCTACAGCGGCGAGTAAGGTCTTCTGAAAAACGGGCACGAGCAAACACGTCAAGTCGCACCTCTCTAAGTCGAGAAGTTGCTCCTGAGTTAGCTGAGTGCAGCGTCCTCGTGGGCCGCTCCGTAACGCGCTCTTCCTGCCATGGGAAGAAGGAGGGGCAAAGTCTACATTGACAGAGGTCCTCCCTCGAGCGGCCATGAGGAACTGCCGTGGCGGGTTGGGAAAGACGAAGCTCTCAAACGCAGTGGCAGGAATGCCACAGGCGCTCTCTGAGTAACGGTCTGTACAGGCGCATAGAGCAAGAAAAACGGCAATGCAAAAGCATCCATACACAGCAAAACAAATATATAGAAGAACAATTCTCAGCACAACTAACTATTGTGTCGAATCGCCTTGAAGGGACAGCTTGGAACTCACAGGCACCCGGCGGCAGTTCAAAGGAATTCCTGCGGATGATGCATGGCTCTCCCGGGACCCATTCGCGGTCCCTTAGGGGACGTACATATTGATTGTGTAGGGCAAAAATTGCCCAGTCGTCGCTTGTTGTGTAGGCACAACGTTCCTGTAGGGTACGGCACCAACACTCAAATTCCCACTTAATGCCCAGGTCCCTCATGCAGGGCTCTGCCGCTGAGCTATTCCTTACTTTCCACCTCTGGTAGAAGCAGGTTACACGGGTTCTAACACACTACGGCAATACAACAGCATCCAGAGGTAGGCACAAATGACTCACTCTAGGTGTTCGCGAGGAAATAGGATTCTGTGTCGACGTCTGGGGAATTCGCTTCTCCCACAGTGCCTCTGCAACGCCATCACCGTAGTCCTCCGCGTTTTTCTCCTCTCCAGGTTCCTCCCATTCTGCATCGTCTTGCAACAGTTCCTGTTCCTCGAATTCTCTTTCATCACGTGGGGCGTCAACCGCCTGACGCAGGCTTGAGTCGGGAGGCACTATCTTCTTGTCGGCAGGCGAGTGGCTAGTGCCCAAGATCCGTTCAATGTTACCAGTCATTCCAGCTCCTGCACTACCACTCTGAGGAGCAGGCCCTATATACTCCGATTTCATGTCATATTTGGAGTTGACGGAAAATGCATGGTGCGAAGCACTTGAGGGCGACGGTGCGGTGTATGACCAGTAGTCCGGTTCCTTCCCCAGAGACCCCTGAACCCCAGTCGCCTGCACTCGGGAGAAGGAAAGTGCGTTGTCTCGTCTTCGCTCCTGTCCTGCGGAGGAGTTGGGTGCCAGCCTCTCTGCCTGTCGATGTAGCGATGTCAACCCTCTTGGTGCAGCTGGCGCACGAGACTTCTCAGAGGCCGGGGCAGACGCAGTCTGAGCAGCCCGCAAATTTGATGCGTTTGTAAGTTCATACATCTGTGAAGAAGTACCCGAAGATCCCCCACCATCCGCTTTTGCACGTCCTGTTTTTGGCGTGAAATTCACTCGGCGGCTATCCCCAACTAAAACGGATGAGCCCACATGCGATTCTGCCGCGGGGCATCTCCCACTTCCGAACGATGAGGCACTCGCACACCTGTCCATAGTACCCCCACCTGAAGTGGCACACCTGCTGCAGTTATATGCACAAGCGAAGCGAGAGCGCCATGAAGCAGAGGCCTGCAGGGTAAGACAGCGTGGGTTCTGGGTCCATGCGAAGCGTCTCTTGAGGTGTGTTGAATGAAAAACAGAATTAAAATGAAATCGTGAAGGTGGACTAGTGCTTGTTGAAGTCAGCAAGTACGGAAACCTGATTCTTCCCAGGCATCGAGGCTGCAGCCCGACGCGCGCCAACTCACCAACCTTCCCCTCTGAACAAAGACCCTTGGAATTTCCCCAGTTGCTCACGAATATTTTTGCTGGTAGGTTTCTCAGTGTAAAACTGAAGAATCTTGAAGTTGAAGGTTTCCGGAAGGCCGACCGCTGCAACTTCACTGCGACGTCTCAACACTGCGCGACCGCCAGTTGTGCGCAGCAACAGCATTCAAATTGGCGAAATCTTTTCTGGAATAGAGTCTAATTAGCAAAAGTACTGTTCTTCAAGTTTGGGAGAAGCACAGCCGACAGGCTCCTACTTACAGCTTTCCTGGACTGCCGCAATGTGGCCTGCGCTGGTGAGGGCTGCCGTTGCAAGTTGTTTTCTACCCACAGCTTAGACGATCACAGAAAAACAGTGCACGAGGACTGGGGCCTTACTATATTCTAACTAAAAAGTGGTAGTTTTGCAACAAGGAGCGAGAGAAATTTTTCCCAGAGTTTCGGGTCCCCGCTGCAACACCAGCGGGCTGTTGGAGCCGGCTGTTAGATCAGCGGAGCAACAGCTGCATCCTGCACAGGTTTGCATGAGCAGAAGGACTTCTTCTTTTTCTTCGCTTGCCTATTAATCCAGGATACATGCAACAATGGGAAAACGTTGGGGATGCTACTACCCCTGAAGCCTGATGTGGTCAGCACGCTGAACCTGAGCCGATTCGAAGCGCGCAGACGCATTCTGCTGCGGCTTCGCCTCCACCTTTACTTTCCTCAATTGTCACTCAAAAATATGGATTAGAATAAAGAAGATACTAAGCTTCATGCTGCTGCTTACTCGTAGCCGGGCCAGTGCACCCTTCGCCACCTAACATGCGAACTACTTGCGACCTTGCATCCGTGGAAGACCGATCATGATCTTTGCATCTGCCTAATGCAACCCAGAGCAAGTTAGAATTCAAGGTTGCTTGATACGTAATTAGTGAAGGAAACCCCTTAGAGATTTACTTCTTCCTTCGTTACAACGAGCCCTTCAGGAGATGCAAGGTCCTGGCACTCCAGAAGCGTCTGGCCGGACCAAACAAGCCTTTCGGAATGGCACAGCCGAAAGATAGTCCAAGAGCACTAGCATTACTGCGTGGAAGGAGCATCCTATACCAGCTGGAGCACCCTTTGCTCCACCTAGGTAGGGCGCGAAGCTGCGACATCACCATACGCTGTGCCGGAATATCCCGTTTTCACGCTGCCTTCGACTTGACGGGTTTACAACAGCTCGACCACGGTAGGCAATATGCTTTTATGGTGAAGATACGACCTCTGATTGCCCTGTTACTAGTGATAGCGACTGGTATGAGGGCCCTGCCAGCCACTGGCTTGGCAAGCTTCGAGGCCTCTCAGCCGCTCACCAAAGTAATGTGGGTTTATCCCGTTAAGATGCGTGTTTTCTGTCGTAAAGGGCGAGGCCCTGCATCTGACTGCGGTGTTGCCAATGGAAGAGTCGACCGAAAGGCGTTTGTTAAGGATTTGGCGTCTTTGAACGGTAGAGCAGATTAAAACTTCACGCAGCAGTTTACAAAGCAGAAGTTACAGCGCTCCCTGTGGAAAGCGAACTCTGTATACTTGGGGCTAATAATACGAGCAGCTAATCGAGAAGGTATGCCTCCAAGCGCGTCGGCGTTGCTGTTCTGTGTGCTCCCGGGATATTTTAGGAACATGGCTGAATAACCGTCGGCTAGAGCCTCATGTCTGGCATCAGCTAGAAAATGGCGACACACTCATGTTTGCATCGTCTGGTAGGTAATGGCCGTCAACTCGCGCGGAAAAATTGAAGCGCTGGTACCATTGTTTGTTCAAGGGCTTTCGCTGAAGTTTGTGAGACGCGCAAACACCGTGGCGGCTCATTTTTGATGTAATCGTATGACACGTAAAGCATTATTATGCTGTGTGTAGATGATGCACATCTCGTTTTCGTATTGCCACCGCCTTCGGGGATCCTGTGTGCACCACCTCGTTGGGTAAGTTGGGGATGTTCATCCACAAAGCATGATAAATGACAGGTTCTTCTACTCCAGCCTCAAAAGGGAACGATGCTTAGTGAGAACCTGGAATATGTTTACTTTCTTATTGCTGGGGCTGGTTTACTGTGAGTAGAAAGAGAGAAACAACGAACCGGAAAACGCACCGAGTACGCCGTTGACGGAGCTGCGCCAGGCTGAGAAGCCGTTGCCGACGACAGATACTTCTGCCCAACGAAGTAGTTCTCCGGCTGCAAAATGCGAGACTGACATGCCAGCGAAAGCCCTTATCCCTAATAAAGCCACTTGGGGTCTTTCAGGGAGCGCACGCCAAGCGACAGCGGCCTCTGAAAGGGAAATTACAACATTTCCGGAGAAAATCGCTCAAAGTAACTCAGCAACCACGTGCTCTGTTGACGTCGAAAAGCGCTCTTGCATGGAACGGCCAATGGCACCGCCCCCCAAATATCAGACACAGACAACATCTCTCCTTGCTGAAACACCGACAGAGCCGTACGTGAATGTGCAATCAATTGCGCCACAGAGAACGGCACAGACCCGAAATACCACGTCGAAGAAGATCGCGGACAATTGTCTGGAAACCGGCCTTCCTCTGAGCCGAAAGCGACTGAAATTCCCAAGTGTTGTTACACCTTCAGCAGACGCTGCATCCACTACGGTGTCTGCGCAGGATGCTGCTGTTGCCACAGGAATGTCCATCTCAACCGCCACGAATACCGCAGCTTTGGAGCACAAGAAATTGCGAAATTGTCACATTCGCGGAAAGATCCGCATGGGTATTGCCGGCAGAGCTCACCGGGGGCCGAGACAAAACCGCTTTGCCCTTCTATCAACTGTGACGATACAGCACCTGCTTGTCCAGAAGAGCAGCGCTCTGCTGCTTTTCCATCACGAAGTAGCCAAGCAACGCCTGAGAAAGATTTCGCTCCAGCCACCACAGGCCCCGCGCCCTCTGACATCAAGCAGCAGCCGGCAATCCCAGTTTGCTCGCGCTGTCAAGGAAATATGACGTTGCATGAACGATGGGAGCATGAACACCGGCGGCCGTCAGACCCGCCTCCCCAATCGGAGAAAAACTGCGCAGCATATATTGGTTTGCTGGCTGCTGGCGGGGCTAATTTGCGGCAGGCAGGGTGTGGCAGCAGCAACAGCAGTACGATACCTCCAGCCCAATGCAGGATCGCTTCAAACATCTCGGCCAGCTGTTGCGGCCCAGTTCTCCCATCTGGGCTGCGCCATGCAACTTCTGTTGCCAGCAACTGTGCCCCTCACTGCCCTCCTATAACTCCCCCCAGCACCACCTCTGGACAATTTTGGCAGAAAAGATGGGAGCCGTTGCCAGCCAACAACTTTTTTAAAGCCTGGGAGGCCTTTCCCACCTCTTGGGTTCACACTCTACGGGGGTCTTCTGTTGTCGTTCCCGTGTGGGGTCACGAAGGAATGGCACATCGGATTTCTCGTATTCCCCCTCCTGTGATACGGACGAGACATCTGAGAAATCCGTGTAGATCGAATTCAGCAACAACCAGCCAGATCAGTTTGCAACAAGAACAGCAGCTGCCTCAGAAGAAAGGTCACTATGACTCTTCGTGTAACTCGACCGCCCACAGGCCTCTTGTAAACACAGCCATCCAAACCGAAAACACACACATAGCGCAGTCAGCACGAGATCCTGCCTATACGTGTAACGGGTGTCCATCGTTCTACCCACCGAGACCCCCTTTTGCGCGCACTACGCCCCAAAACAAGCAGGTAAGCTGCGCCAGCTCATGGTGAGTGTCTGCGGCACTTGACCCTGATAAACGTCTGACGAGGAAAATGCTTGCGGTGGTTCTAGCGTTGGAAATCAACGTTGCTTTCGAGAAGCATGGATTGCATATATATACAATCCATGCTGCATGAATCTCGGTTTTGTGCCTTCGTCTGCACTCCAGGGGGCTTCAACAACAGAACAGGCTGACCTAAGCCAGCTCCCATCGCGTGGTTCTGCTTCTGCTATTCGTGCCGCACCACAACACTGGTCTTCAGATTGCAACTGCCCCCAAGCAATAGCAGGAGCCACATTGTCTGTAGCTGCTGCTGCCGCAGCTGCTGCGGCTTGCAATATATTCGAGGACGTGTGCTTCCCACGTAGCCGGCAAAGCAGATGCACAGGACAGGAGACATGTTTAGCAGCTGAAGGCGCGCAAAAGGGAACTCGAAAGCTAGTCGAAGGCACGCAGCAAGATGCAAATACAGCACCAAGTCGGTTTGGGCCAAGAATTCCCAAACGACCACAAGGCGTTACCAAGTAAGTCGCGGAAGTGGGATTGGGGCAGAGCCAACCGCCATTCCAAACCAAGGCCAGCAAGCCCTGAGTTTTTGAAGAAGCCATTCTCTTGATTTTGGTGTGGATTCTGTGATGTGTCTCGGCATTGGTTCAGAAGTTCCAGCGGTGCGCGATGCAGAAGCAGGACTCCAACGCATAGAAGGGGCGCTTCAAACAATTCCTCACTGGGTGTCCAAACGCATGACGACGATGGAATTCCCGACGTTACACGCGCACCAGCCAGCGTACAATATAAAAGGCTTATTGCAGAGGAAGCTGAATCAGGCGCCGCTACGGCTGCCTTCCAGGTAAACTGTTTCCCTGCGGGCCCATTAACAACGACGACGTTCTCTCGGAGGCAACTGCGTTCCTAGACGATCAGTGGGCAGGCAAAACGGTGTACGCAAATAAGCACTTAGTTTCCGCCGAATTGCTGCTCTCCGCAGGCTGCCGCTGAGTTGCAAGCTGCCGCTGCAGCTTTCGGGATGGCCATTGGTCGGCTTTCATCCCTCACAAGCCCCGTCAACACCAACCAGCAACCAATTATTCCAGGGATCCGCAGGCAAGGCCCTACTCGTTCGGAAGCAGATAAGAAGTCCCAATTCCTTCATGCTTCAAAGAGCCTCCCTGCTCTTAACGGCCACGAAACTTCCAGGGTTACGCCAAGGCGTGAGCTGTCACAGAGAGAGGAACAGCTTTTGGACTGCATGGCAGCGTCTTTTGCTGCCGTGAACTTGGACCCGTAAATTAGAGCCTGCTACAGGCCCCTCTCGAATGGGAGCATGCGGCACTGTGGCACTGCACTTTGCAGTGCCAGGCAGTTGAGTTGTCGCTTCACTCCCCACAAGACAGGCTGCACTTGCTGAAGCATAATCCGCCATGCTAGCGAGCAATCCTACGGTGCATTGATATTTCATGGTGTTCGTCGTCAAGCTAATGCAGAGCGGTACTGTATGGGGTGATGGCAGCCAGTGCGCGTGCACTGGAGTGCCGTTAGCTTCTAAGTACTACTAAGAGTCAAGCATGGCACCAGCAGCTGCATGGCCCAAAGAAGAAGCGAATCTTAAACATCAGTGAGTGCTTCACCCGTGCTCAAATACGCATCGGCTATTTCGGGCTGCATAGACCAAGCCGTCTCTCGGGTCTCAAGGCTGAACAGCTACGTGAGAGAGATGCAATACTGGGAAATATATCCCCGCAGAAATAAGCCAGGGATAGTGCCCTCGCTTCAACAAAATCTCTGGTGCGCGGAGAAAGAAAAAGTCTATCCCTGTAAGGCGACCTATTGGTTCAAAAAACAAAAACTACAATTCTAGCTGCTTCGAAGCAGAAGGCTGCATGGAGTTCCAACGGCAGGAACGACGCTCCAGCAGACACATCCACCGCTGGCTAGTCCTGGCCTTCTTCGCGTATGGGCTTCTACAGCCACCAGGAAGCAAAGTGGCGCGAACTATACATTAGAAAAACTGCCGAACGCATAAAAGGAACGCTGCCCGCAATATAGGAGCCCCTAGGCAAAAATCCCAGGGAGAAAAGACCAGGCATCCGCCTGGGTACTCGGCCTCATCGGGGGGACTCTTCTGCCAAAAACTGCTTCTGCGACAACCGCACACACACACACACACACACACACACACACACACACACACACACACACACACACACACACAAACACACACGCACATACGCACATACGCACGCAATCACGGGTGGCTAGACAGCGCCTTCGCTGTTCAGAAAAGTGCAAAAACCGCCACAATGATGCTACATCCTGCAGTAGATGCTTCTGTAGGGAAATCCCATATCAAGTGAATATCTACCACTTTTGAAAGGTATCCATATCGATCGGAGTCAACGATAAAGAACGGAAATCCTCTAGCGCCGTATCTGGTCCTCAGGCAGCGGCTGATCGCGGTTTGATGTGGATGCCCTTCGACCATAACCACCACCTGAATAGCCACAACAAACACCACCTTTTCCGTGGAGCTCTGCTTTGCTATGAAGCTGTTGCGCGTCCCCCCCCGTCTGAGGGAGGCCTTAATAGCGCAAGCTTGGTACAATTCCTGTGAGTGCTGCACAGTAACTGGTCTATCCAAACTATTTTACTTCTAATGCAAGGCCTCCCCTCCTTCCCTTACCGTATCCTTCCCAGCCTTTTTCAGTGCCCGAATACCAATACCGCAAAACTTGCATCGCCTATAACGACGCAAGGGACACACGGGAGACATAGACAGCAAAAACAAGGCAGAGAGAGGGTTAGAACTATGTACTGCGCTTTTGGCTAGAAAGGGGACTTGCGCTAATAGGTACCAGGGAGTCAAAGCCTGCAGGACTCACCTTACCACGAAGGCGAAGGACTTCCCTTTATCTAGCATATCGTCGATCATCACAGGAATCAACCCGGGGTCCGTCACATCTTTAAATGGGTCATGCACATCGCCAACAAAGTTAAAAACTTCCCAGAAGACTAATCCGATGAGAACTAGAAGAGAAGCAAGCAGACCCGTCGTAGCAAGGCGGCCTGCACCCGGAGGGGACATGTGGGGGGCTTCTACCCTTTGGATCAGCTTCTCCCCCCTGTTTTGGAGCAAATACACATCTCCCGCTGAAGAAGCAGTCTCTGCAGATGCCTGCGCACTACTAACAACGGTCTGGAGAGGTGGGGGCGTAGTCTCTGTGTCGGCCTGCTCATGTATCTGAACTTGCACCGGTGCATCGGCGAGTCCGCCGTTGCTTTCATGCTCTGCTGCCACATCTGAGCACTTGACAATTAAAATTACGGCTGCGTGAGCCAGGAGATTCAGGGGATGCACCCCCCAGAAGCTCGATACCCATCTCTTCCGACCCATGGCGGCGACGAGAAAATCGGTGTAGCAGACCCGGCAACCTGCAAAGGAATATCAAAAGAGTGCTAGTACGGAAATTACAAAAGTGTCCGCTCCATCTTAATTTATTCCTAAGGAGTTACCATGGGGTATGGAGCAAAAAACAGAGCAGTGGTTGACCCGGTGAGCAGATGCTGCGGCGCAGTGAGCCGTCGCAGACAATTAATGGCCATGTTTCAACTTGTGCCATCCTCTACAGAAAAAAAGCCTTCTCTACTAGTGACCACGGTACGCATAAAGTTTTTTTCACTAATAGTAATTGCGTGTTAGTCTATAAATTCGGCAGAAGTCTAACTCTCGCCTCCTGCACGTTTCCGGCTACTCCGCATTGCAGTATCAGCACCATGGAAACGGATGTAGGATCTGGTCTACAAAGGACCTTGTAATATTACGAGCAAGACCACTAATGATGCCGAATAAAAAATGCAGAAACCATACCACTTCGCACTACGTACTAACAGAGATGCGTGCAAGGATTTGTAGCAATGTTCCAATCATATAGATTCTCCCATGCCGCGAGACACCCACGGTTACCACTGGTAGGCGGCGTTGGGTGGTTCTCTGGTTTTAATACAAAGCCTGCGCATCTTCTTCCCACTGTTGGGGGCTTTGTAATAGGCATTTAAACGCAGGGTGTAGCGAAGTCTGCGTGAACTCAGTACAGGTATCGATGTTCGTGAGCATGCATATGCGGAAGCCAAAGAATTGTTCAACAAATGCCTACGCTGGTAGTGCATGAGTCAAAAAAAGGCTTCGCATGCCTGCATGTATGGCTATTTTACCGCAACTGTTGCAGCAGAAAGTGCTGTAACTTAGAGCAACCCCGCCCCCTGCCTTACCTGCCGAAGGAGTTTGTGGCGCTGTGCTGCCCATCGTACAGACAGTTTCTTGCCTGTCATAGGGGTCTATTGCAACATGCGAAAAAGCGTCAGCGAACCCAGATGACGAAGGCAACGATTAAGCCTTCAACTGGTCGGCTATTTTGGAAGGCCAGATATATATTCGAAGCATTTACTTGCATTTCACCGAGAATTCTTTTAAGCGTTTGAAGCCGACGGGGGAGCGCCACCACCTTTCCTTTCTCCCCGCCAGCACAGGGTTGCGCCCGAGCACTCTACTTGACGGTTTGACTGTCCCTTGTTTTATTCGCACGCTCTCCGTTCGAATTTTGCTTAAAGTTACTAAAATCTCCCGTAACTCCGAACAGCGCTTGTTGGGTTTGGGGGTGAGTTCGACACGGTGCACTGGGAATCCTGTTTTGTGTACCCCGCAAAAACGCAAAACATGATAGCAGTGAAAGCATCCAAATGAGGCCTAAACGTCCCGAATGCGGCGGCATTCGCAGGAATACACCTACCAAGTGTGGGCTTCCCATGACCTAGGCTGTGCCAAATCGGGACATCAGGCAGGTTCATTTAGCAGCTCGGTGATGAGGAATGAAACTGAAACGAGCCCAACTGCGCGCTGTTCACCAGGTGACATGCTTTCAAGGCCAGCAGAAAAATGCACGTTGATCTGTGTTCTGCGTTGTTTCTTCTCGCGTACACTGTCTGCCAAACGTACGCTCCTATCCAGTTGCTACGATGAACATCTTTCGACCACCAGAGACCCTATGCTTATACAACGAACACCTTGGAACCGCCTAACGGAAATAAGCTATAGCTAGGCAGTTCTGCAAGTCCCCCATACGGTTAGTGTAACCCATCCACGAGCAGGGGGACACCAAATAAACTTGCTGTTTCTGTAACGTCCGTGGTAACTCGTTCTGAGAGTGACGTCCTGCTACCTGGAGCTGAATTCCGACCAATCGAAACTTGTCTATAGGATGGTCGTGCAGTCGGATAAGCAAATGGACTACATAACAATTAGTCACATAGCACTTTATGCGTAGAGCTCAAGAATGCAATATCCCCAGCGTACCACGAAACGAGCTCGCTGAACCAACTCAAACCTAGTCAACGCGCCACTGCATTCCCCACCTTTGCCATATGCTCCTGGGCAAAGCACTAGATACACTGTCGTGGCTAGCAACCGCCTTTGGGCGTAGCGTACATCACTAAGTGCGATAGTTAAAAACGCGTTCATGCGGATGTGCATCTAGAAAGACGCAAATGCTCTCCGCCGGAGTACTGGGGACTTCCTACATAATACAGAATGGCGAGAGTGCCCTTGAGATGTCCGGGCAGCCCAACGGGCACTCCAATTGTAAAGCATTCGCATGTGATGCGCTCGAAATTTCCCACTTCTGCAGCTCTTGTTTATACGCAGTCGTGCTTGCGCCGCAACCGCCAGAGTGTGCAGATCTCCTTGGGTCCCAGGGGCGCATTGGCAGAGCGTTGCTCCTGCGTAAAATGCACATGGCCCTGCGGCGTTGCGGTGCTGGTTTAGCTAAATATGGATGTCTCTGTCCTATACGTTAAGGAATCACCTCTTGCCTTTGTTGTGCTCCACCGGATGGCGCATTGTTCGAAGGCCATCAGCGAGCAGCCTCATGGATGCCTAGGCGACCGGATGAAATGCCTCTCGCTTTCTGGAGGCGTCCTTCAGGTCATCTGTCGCTCTGCCTGCTATTCCTGGATTGTACGGAACCTTCTGTGTCCTGTTTCGTGACAGCAACTGCCTGCGTCTCCAGCTGGTCGCGCTCTAGAGATCGACCAGTGGCAGAAGGCCACGCATCCAGCACACGACCCCCAAGATCCTTAAGTCACTGTTCGTGTGAACAACTGAGAACCTGGGGGCCATACTTGTGATCTATACCTTGCTCGCACCCAACATCCATTGTCAAATCAGAACTGCGCTGTTTGAAAAGTTGGCATCTTCCGTGCCAACTGGTGCACATCCTGGGCTTTGATAAGCCAAGTTTACGAAGGACAGCAACCGGCAACCTGCTGTTGTCAAAAGTCATGCGCGCAGAGTGTAAAGGTGGAGTTGCTTCCTCAGAAGGCAGCAGCGCCTTGAACTCCATCATTACTGCCGCTCAAAAAATCTGCAAGCCTTTCCAATGTAACTGAGATAACGAATCTTTTGTCTTCCAAAATCCCACAGGCCGTAGGCCCTCGATGCACCAGAAGACGAAGCGGTGGCAGAAGGCGTAAGACTCGCACACGAATTCATCAGGAAGGTATCCATTTTATGAGTTGGGAGTTGGTCCCTCTGCTTTTAATATTGCAAGTAAAGCCTTCGCCTTTGCCTCGAGTCCTTCCTTCTGCTGCGTCTGAGCAACCGGTGCAGAAGCCTGCTGTTGGTTCGGTATCTGTGGTGGAATTTGCCATAATTGTTGCTGTTGTCTTCTTTGCTGTGATATTTGTGAATGTTGAAAGGAACCATTGGGACAGCCTGCCTTAACTTGCCCAGAAGACGGCGTTTTGCCTCCTCTAAAATTCTGACGTCGGGCCTGCGAAGCTCCCGATGGAACGCGAGTCTGTCTGTGATTCGGCAAGTCTGCAGGACGCAGTGGGCGCCGCTGAACGGCGTCGCGCTGACGTGGCGGTAGCTGGTGGTGCTGCTTCCGTACGCCAGCCTGCTGTCGCACCTGCTGAGGCAACAGAGCACAGTTCTGGGCATCTACCGTTTTGTGATTCACAGAAATTCTCCTTTGGTGCAGAACGCGTGCAGAGGCGTTTCACAGCTGTACACGAGTACGGCACAAACGAATACATGATATGCTATATGCTGCTGGTGCATGGAGGTACTGGGATCTGGAGGCGACCACCAGAAGCTTGCATGTAGCGCAACTACTATGGGCACCAAACGGAATAATATATATACTAACACAAGGATAGCCTCCTGAGGATAATGATAACCACCTTTTATGCACAGGCCCGTCAACTCAATGAGATATGCAAGGGAACAAGGAAGGGGACAAAGAAAGTGGGGCACCGATACGAAGAATAGCAGGTTAGCACAGCGCGTGAGTGTGGAGCAACGGCTGCTGTACTGGGCCAAAAAACCATGGGAGACTATGAGGAGATTAGACCGCAAGCATCTTCACTAGAAGGTTCAGCTATCAACTGACAAGTAATTTATAAACTGTAGCGGCCAGACTCACCTGAGAGCAGAGTGGCAGCCAATGGCTTGCAGGACAAAGGAGAATCCGGAGGGTTTCAATGCTTCCGTTTCCGTCCGACGCTCCTGTAAAAATGAAAAGTCGTGAAGTATAATTATGCCCAACGAGAGGAACGTAGTGGAGTACTGACGAAGCTTATGATTAACAACTGCACCTATGGCAGCTTGCAGCTGGTGGCAGCTTACCCAAACAGGGCTCGTCCAGTAGCACCTCAATGCACAGGTCCTCGAGGAAATCCATTTGCTTCTGAAACAGTGTCACTCTTTCCGCTGCACTGATCTGAGAGTTTATAAATTCCGCATCCTCCTCAACGAGAATTGCTTCCCCCTGCTGACCTTGTTTCAAACTGAGCCCTCTGAAGTTCAACCGCTTTTTGAGTGTAAGATTTATTACGACAGCATCCACGTAAGCGGCACCTCTCATGCGCGGAAGGGGTGCCGAACCGTGTCTTAGTCCGCCTCGCGAGACTGGCCTATCTGCAGTAGAACTGCGTGTAGTCTCGCCGCTTGCGTATTTGCATTTAATGTTGCAGCTGCCGAACTTTGACGCAAAGCCGCAGGCAGTCCCACGAGAGCCTTGACGAACAGACCCGCGGAACCGGGCATAGGCCATGCGCTGCCCCAGATGGGCCATTACCGTATATATAAATCTATATTCCCCATCCGCCACCTGTTGGACTGTATGTAGACGCAAGAATTCTGAATAAACAGAGAACATCGTAGCAACAAAAGCACGATCCGGTGTAGACAAAAAGCACACGCGCTTTAGTTGGCCGTGAGGCAGTCGCAGCCGTGAGGCAGTCGCAGAACTTCACAAGACCAGAGAAAACATCCTGCTGAACAGCATTAGCTTTCGAAGGCGCCCAATTTGCAGAGCATGCACAACCAAACCACGCCATATATTCGTAAATGCCATACTGGATACGATGTGCTTCTGAATCGTTAGCAGGTCTGCTGCTGGGACGCAGCTGGCCACGTCCGCACGAAACACAACCGAGCGGGCGGCGGCCAGCCCCGAACTCAATGCGTTCCGCTCATCATCCAACGCCCTGTACGCTGAACGAAAATGCACCGAAAGAACTCGAGAGCAATCACTACATCTTCGTCTCGCTGCAGCTTACAGAACTGTCGCAACTTGCAAATGGGCTTCGCATATAGCGCACTGTTCATAGTGCGCGGCCTGGAAAACGTGGCTCTTCGCACAATCAATGCACTAAAACCCACTTGAATTCGGTAACCAAGCATATTCAGTGGTCACTGCTTTCGCGCTGCGAGAGGCTGACTGCGCCGCCATCGACGCCAAACGAGATGCCAAAAATGCGGCGTCTGGCAGTCCACGGAAGACATCAGCGGCCTTCAGGTGGCAGCTCGCCGAAAAGTTCCCATGATGATTACCAACCTGAAGACGCACATGCGTTTGTAACGCGTGCCTTTTAGAATTGGCACCCATCTGGGAACTCCCATGGCTGGATATCAGATGCACACAGACTGACTGGGCAGATGCTCACCAAATCGAGTGCGTGCCCAAAAGTAGGAAACGCCTGCACAAGTTGCTTTCCGAGTTCAACTGCACGGCTAGTGAAGAGGTGAGAGCTGCAGCGAGCTGCCCACAGCATCAAAACAGCAAGTTGTACAGCGCTTTGAGGATCACGTGTTGCACCTGCCAGCAAGCCCATTCATTGCCAGAACTTCTGGAATACCTCCTGCGACTCCAGCGATTTTAGCATACAGTCAATATGAAATGTCGTACATCGCTGATGGCCAGGCAAGTTAAGCCACGGCAAGGAAAACCTGACAACGTAGGCAGGCTTGCGCGTCCTCTTCGTGAAGATGGCTATATGAAGGCCGCAGTCCTGCAGATTAGGAAGGACATGGAGAGTACAGTCGCAGAGTAGCAAAATATCCTCTAGCTGAACCACTACTAAGTACAACATGATACTGAATACTGCGGATCGTCTGCCTTCTAACCACCCTAGAGCAAACCCCCGAAGTATCCCTTCATCCTACTGGTAGATGGCTGAAATGGGCAAGTTCGTGACACTGCGCCGACACAGCGATTCCTTGCTAAACGACTTACATATAGATTCTCCCCCTCCTTGATGAACACAGAGGAAAAGATTTGGAATGCAGCGAAAGGAGTAACACCCATCAGCTCTGCTGCCTCTTCCAAGGAGTAAACCCTTTCCTGCATCACCAAAACAGTTTCGCCTTAATGCAGTCTACAATGCCCACGCGAACCCCAGTATGTCAATAACTACACGCTTTGTGCAACCTTCGAAAGTCGTGAAGGGAAAGTTGACGCACTGTGCTGGTTGCACAGACCGCACTGCATGCTTTATCTAGGTCCTCCTGAAATCCAAGGGGTTCTTCTCGCCACGATGAAATGCGGACACACAGATGCGAATCCTCCCTGGTGGGAGAACTTTCCAGCACACCGGCGGCACCGAGAAACAACTGCTGTTCTCCGTTTGGCGCGATACAAAAAACATCATCTCCGGCCTTCCACCGGATCTTCCTGTGGGCTTCAACCGCATCGATCACTTCCTGGTGGCACTGCTGCATGCTTTCCAGGAGGGTATTCGACGGCGTCGCAAGGAGTGGGAAAAGGCGGAAAACTGTTTCCGATCCGTATCGAAAATGTACGCAAGCAGTGGACTTCCCCTCGTGCGAATTGGAACCAGCAGCGTTGCCGCTGCTGCTGCTCATCGAGTGCATATCGATTAATTTTTCTTCCATCACAATATCCTCTACTGGACGCAATTCAACAAGAAGGGTGGAAAGACCACTCTGCGGGTGATATGCGCGGGACAGCTGCTGTTGGTTTTTACCTGCAAGCGCCGAAGTCACGTCCAGTGCAAGGTGCCGCAGCTGCTGCTCGAGAGACTGCTGTGGCGTACATCTCGGCTTTGCATCCTCGTCGGTGCCGCCTAGGACCTGTTGGTCCGGATCCCAGTAAGGCGCGGTCTTTAGCGCGTCCTCAGCAACCTGCTCTGTTACGCTCTTTGCACTGTATTGCGCAAAGTAGAAGCCTTCCACCTCGTCCGTCACAGCAATGCCCTGTTCCCGCAGGCGGCGCTTCTCCGTCTCCACCTCCTGCAACTGTTCCATAGGGTCACTGGGGAAATCAGCACTCTGCGCTTTGCTGCCGAAATCTAGAGGAATGTAAAAAGTAGGATGCCACACAGCAACCTGTAGCCGCAACATACCACGACCGTACCTACCCACCAGTTGAAAATATTATGAACGAGTAGGCAATAATTCAGTGCCCATGGAAAGTCACAATAAATGGTCACGATGGATAAACACTATGGTTACTAGACACCGCTACGGTGCCCAATCGTTACTGATACTTCGTCGCTGCATTCCCGTCGTTCTTGAGAAGGCTGTTTTACAGCAAAAGTTCTCATACTGTTTAACAGTACCTAAGTGCGCAAGCTGGACCAGGGAAAAACCAAGAAATGCAAGCTCACCGGAGTGGCCAGCTTTACAAAAGGGTAGTCGTAGAGAACAAATCTGCTGTTGAGCAGTTTATTCAGCGTGTCCTTTGGTTTTAGCAAGTTAACAATGCTCGATGTAGACCCTCGAAGCAGCGCTTCCCTCGAAAATGGCATCACGCTCAGCACCACGGACTGGTTAACTGACACGCGCTTGAACACCTTGACCCCTGTCCCACGGTGCCACTGAAATACGCAATCCCGAATCAGCACCAATGCACATATGAGCTCTTGGAAATCAGTGGGACAAAGTGTGGGCAACCGCTTTACTCAAGTGCTCTAAGCAGGCAGCAAAATGATATGCTGTTGCAGCTGTAGAGTAGAGTAGACCGGTGCGCGCCTAACACAAACAGTCGGTGGAATGAAGATTTCCGCTAGGCAGGGGCACGCACTGCAAATCACCCAGAAACCTCGATGGTACATGTGATCACGGAACTTGTTAGCAAGCGCAGTCTTGCTCACGGCGATGCATTTAGAGTGAAGCGAAGGGGTCAAAACAGCGGCAGCTGGCGATGCTCCAGGAAGGGGAGCCGTTGGGAAGAGTAGTTCATTCCCCCTAGGGGAAAGGTTCGGTAGCGGCGGCAGACTAACTGGGGGGTCGCGCAGCTGTCGCACTGAAGACAAATCTGTACACTGTAGAGCCCAGCGCAACTTCGTCACGTACGCCTCGACTGCATCCTTGATGTTCACCTGGGAGGATGGTGAAGGGATAGGAATCGTCGGTCTGACGATCCTAAGGACGCCTACAATTTTGGCCAGCTCCAAGCGAGCAGCCAATAGAGGTGGCAAGACAAGAACCTCCTCCTCCACCACGCAACTGTCTACCACGTCAGGAAAAGCCCAGGGAAGAGTTGAAGGGAAGATGCGAATTTCCCGCTGTTCACCTCCCCTGGGTACGTTCTCCTGAATGGAACTGTTAATACGGCTGAGAAGGCGTGGAATGTCCAATACGACGCCAAGACTCCTATGTATAATTTTGGTTTTAAAGAAGAAGCACTCACGCTCATATACAGGGTCGAGGGAAGCCAGCTGGCCATGCTCGCAATTGCCCGAGTCTTTATCACTTAGTAAGAGACCATGCTGTCTCCAGCTCTGCTCATTTTCCTCCCTCATAAGCAGCACGACTTTCCCGGTCTCATTTCGCTTCAGCACTTCTGGGGGGAGCTTCTCCAGAAGAGGAAAAACAACGCTCTCAAGCACCGCTTCATCCACGAACGGCAGCAGCGTCACACCCCCCCACGGGACCTGCAGAGCATCATGGTAGGGAACATGCAGCAGAGACACAAAGCAAGCACTCTCATACCAAACACAGCAAGGCAGCCCAGCATGCATAACTCTAGAAGGAGTAGGCCGAATCGGTTGGCCTGGTGCTACTTTGCCCACTTGTCGGGCAGCCAACAGGAAATCAACAGACTACGGAGTGGAGGCAATTTACTCAGATAAAATAGGAACTTACCTTCACGCCCTCCATGTCGATTTCGAAGTCTTTCGGAAAGAAAGGTGCAAGCTGTGGAGGGGGGTCGGTCAGTATGTGCCTTAGCTGGGGAGGCAGTAATTCAGCCGACCTGAGAAAGCATCACCCAGCTAGTCTGATGGCGCTTAAGCTGGCGATCTTTAACCGAGAGGAGGGGTGCAAAGGGCACGGTGGGCGGGGTGGGTGGGGAGGGGGGGAGAGGGTTCTCTCCAGTGGAGTCCTCCTACTCACTGAGGCGGCAAGATTGACAAGAGTTGCATGAACGGCGAATACGGCTCCCCGCTAGGCAATGGGATGGTACGGTCTATAAGATATGAAAGGTCCCCGCAGCGCTCGTCTGCGCCTGTGCCTGTGAAATTCACTGTCTGCGTATCTGGAAACGACGGTCTGAACACGTCGCAGTCGAGCACGTCCCGCAGGAAGGGAGCGTAGTGGTAAGAGTAATACCACCTCCACCCACTCGCGTCGGGGCCTCGGAAGTAGTAGAATGCAACCTGGATGCAAAGACGCAGAAAAGTTGGCCTAACTTTAAAAAATCAGGAGCAACTACCACGGAAACCGTCCAGCTACTCATGCGCCACAAGCGAGGCAGCCCACGCCGCTGCGTACCCACTGGAGCCCTTCCAGATACCTTCGGCACAAGTGCTGCAGCTCCCTTCGGCCGCTTTCCGTGTGAAGTGAGAAGCCAAGTTTCCGTTCATAAAATTTTGCACGGTATGCTGTGCACGAGTCCCCACCAAGGACGTCAGGCATCTTCAGTTGCGCATCCTGCAACAATGGAAACCTCGCCAGCTCCCAGCTTTCCCATCCAAGATGAGCGAGAATTAGAGACGCTGAAAAGAAGGCAACAAAAGTAAGTGCTTGATGGGCCAAAGCATACCTCTCCCGCCTTCTTTCTCATGATCCACTGCAAGTCTGCGGCCTTGCCTGCAACCTTGTAGTCTTCCACAGTTTCTACAAATAGCTTGAGAAATATGTACAAATTAAGGAGATTCAACTGGCCACACCTTCCGACAAGCCACGGGCCATCCACTGGCGTTTTGCTTGTTACGGATGCGGCCAGTCCGCGATACTCCTGAAGCGACAACGTGCAGCAAAGATGGAAGAAACACGCTATACGCAAAGTGTAAAAGCGGCTTATGAACGCCTAAGCAATAGCAAGAACGAGATGGTGGAGAACGTTAAGAAGAGCAGGCGCAAATCAGCTGCTCATGGAGCAGGATACAGCCTCAATTCAACGAATACCTACAGCTAAGAAACGCCCGTAGCACAGGATCATACTATCGAGCCCCTTTTCCCCAATGTCTGTGGAAAACGTATGCGGCAGGAAGTCGTTTCCCGCCAAGAAGCAGAAGATGACAAAGTCGTCAATAGCACGCTCTGTCTCGCATGGACAGGAGAGCATCTTATCGACGCGACGGTTCAAACTTCCCTCCGATGAAGACTGCTGCGATACTCCATCTGGCTCATTTAACTTGACCCTGCCTCCTGGTGAAAAAGGCTGCCCGTGGGCAGTTCCACGGTCCTTGAATGCAATCTGTTCTTGGCTGTAGTCTATCTTCGCCGGCAACAGATCCACCGATAAGTATTCGCGCACCAATGAGATGTGCAAGAGTTGAAGCTTCTCCGGTTCACGCAACATCTGCCACAAAGGAAAGGAAAACCGCAAGAAAGGAAAGCCGCACTGACAACCTGTGGTCGGGCCACCTTCACGCTATTCTAAAGCTATAATACTTCTCTTCTCCCCGTTTTAGGGATCTTTCAATCAAGTCTCTTAACGTCCCAGTACGCGACGGTATTGCAGGGCAAGGAAGGCACTCTGGAACACCTAGCTTGTGGAGAGGCCACTTGGGCTACTGCTTACAGTTCACTACTGCGAGAGTAAGTAACAACGGAAAGCACGAGAGCAGTAGAGGCAACAGCAAAAGGAACGCACCCTATCTGCCGCATCGACTGTGGTGGGACGGCCGAAGACGACTTCTTCCCTCAGCAACGCAAACTGTGGTTCGTGGGACGCAAGGGCTGCGAATGCGTGTATGCACACGCAAGACAAGTCTTTGCTCATGTGCCCACTTTATCAGCTTAAATATGTGGGTCTGCGAACAGTCTATAACGTGACTGACAGCGAGCTGCAGGCATGTGGTACTGACTTACACAGCATGATCAAATCAGCGTCAAGCCCGTACAAGCAATGTCGCGTGTTCGGGTCCGCACTACCAGCGGCCTTACAGCACCGTAGGTAGGCCATGATTTTGTGCTCCCCTTCGCCTGTGCAAAATGACAACGCCAGTAGTCTCTACATATGAAGGAGTAGTTGCTGTACACCGGCGAGAGCAGCAGCCCCTGACAACGGGAACACGCTATCAAGCACCATTTGAAAAAAAACGCTAGTTTCGCAACTGTTTCATCTCCCTTTGAATTCTAGACCACTAAATGCAGCCTAGCCATGCGAATTTGCTAAGTAACTCCATAAGCCGCGACCCTCTGTGGATGCCTGCTATGGCAGTGGGGGCCCCTGAATCCCTGCCCTCAACGATTCACGCAGCAAATGAAGCAAATCAGGCCAAGCACTTACCGGGGACATCCGGACCTGATAGGAGCACTTTCAAGCCCCTCCACCTTGCATCTTCTTGAAATTTTTTCTCGCAGTAAAAACGAAGGTGACGGAAGAATGAGGCCATGAACTCTGTCCCCGGAGAAATGCAATTACTGTCGAAACTTTTCCCGGATATACCTCCCGTCCCAAACGGAACACTGGACAACTGCTCGCCCGCTCCTTGAGCTGCTGCTTGGACCCCGTTTGCTGTCGCACGTTGCTGCTTGGCCTGCATTACTGCGGCCTCCTGCGCAGTCTTGGCGGCTCTGTAACGGCGAGCACGCTGAGCCACAGTAGCAAGGTGAAACACCTACAACACTACAAAAATCCGTTCAAACTCCCACATACGCCTGCGATGCTTATCCACCGCCACATCAATGCAGACCACACTGTACCTGCTGGTTCATCTTTGCACGGGGGGCAACTCCATCAGCCGCCAAATACAGAAGCTTGCGAGGGGAAATCGTCGAAACCACCAGATCTAAGAGGGCAAAAACAGACTGCCACATCAAGTCCTCGTTTGCATGGAGCATCCCTCCTGAAAACAAACCAGATAAACATCGGAGGCCATCTGAATGCAACGTTAAGCCGCCCCCCTACCCAAAGGCAGTGTAGCGAAGTAGGTGCGTCAAGGCACACAGCAGCATTTCCTCCTTCGTCTGGGAGAGGAGGTACTTTCCTGAATTTCCATGGCTACAGTTGTGAAGGATTCCATTCAAGTCCAGATACAAGTTATCGAAGGTCGGGATGGAGGAGGCGCCAATCTTCTCGTTAATGAGCGGGTAGCGCTCAGAAAGCCACCGATAAAATCTGCCTATCCCCATTTTCTCTTAAGCAGTGAGGGAGGTTCAGCCGACGCGTTCGGTCAACAACGAAGACCTGTAGTCCGTCCCCACCAACAAACAAACTCCTAGTAGCCCTCTCTGGATGGCCCACAGTGCTTCATGTTCAATGCGTTGAAGAGCATCGACACAGGCAAGCGAATAGTACGAAGAACACCAATTCCAGCTGCGAACAGCAAAAATATTGAGGCTCGTGCTCCTAGAAGAAGAAAGTGCAGAATGAACTTGTCAGTTGCAGTGCAGCTCTGGTCTTCAACTGAACACCGGCAGGAACAAATACACCACAGAAAAATATTAACAGCTCCTCCCCTAACCAGTTATATCAACAAGCACCTTCGCGAAGCTAGAAGGCAGATATTTGTGGCGAACTGCGCAGGTGAGGCAGCAATTGTTCAAACAGCAGCAGCTGCGTCTGAACCCAATGGCTCACATAAGTAAGCAGTCAGTGAGCACTGTCAGGCCAAAGTTGCCGGGGTAACAGTAATATTAGCCCTCCTTTATTCCCATGGGGTGAAACTGAAAACAACTGAAGGTGCAGTGTTGGATACAAATGCCAAGCACACATTCATGTGCTTCCGTTGAGAGTCCTCACTGCACGACGGTTGCCTCCACTGCATATTATTATGATTATGAATCCTTCGGAGGCAAAGCGTCAGCTAATTGCATTTACAGGCTTCACTGGATGCCTATGAAGGCGTATGCGATTCCTTCCAGAAGGCTGCAATGCATTGCCCGGCACTACCAGGAGCCAGCAAGTTGGGGAGAAATGCCAGGAACCGCAACAAGAAGAGGGATCACAAGCAAATTATATCCTATAGTGAGAAACTATAGGCATACTCTCCGTGGGCCCACCATCGCGAACAAGGCACGAGTCCTGTCGTCTGGGGCTGGACCAACCAAGGCGAAGGGCCGGGAGCAAGGAGAAATTTTCCCTTAGCGTCAGCACCTACTGTTTAGTTTAAATTCTTTAAAACCCTTTTCTAGACACGAAGGGCGAGCTTTTCTTATGGTGGTGCGGCGCCCACATACCACAGAGAATGCCCATCAAGGATGTTGCATGGCTGTAGCATGGTGTGTGTGGTGTTGTTCGGCGTATTTCTCCTCGCGTGAAAGGTGGTAATAATAGGCCAAGTAAGTGTTTAACATTTTCCCACAGGGTCTGTTCACTCAGCAAGGGGGACTTGCCTGTGCACGCTTGTGGCGTTGCCCTACTGGACTGTTTGCGGCACGCTGAGTGACAACTCATGGCATTCCGTCTCTTCTCGACAGCAGCCAAAGGCTTTTGGGCCGCTGTGCGCAGGATGGCTTGGGACTGGTAGGGGGGTAAAGCGACTTTGGAAGTTGTATTGCACGGCACGAGGGTCATCTGCTAAGTTCGAAGGCATTGGGCACACGTAGCATGGTTCATCGGTGGAGGTGTTAGCAACGGTTCCCATCCACATAGCAGCCCAGTCTGATCAATAGCACAGAGTAGTTGCGAAGGGGCTTTGCAAAGCACCTTCGCAAGTTTGGATACTCATCCAGTAGCTTTTGTCAAAGGTTCAGACCTTCTTCCCCTCTCGCACAGAGGAGATGGATCAGGGGCTCTGCCCTATGGTGTGGAAGGGACTAAGTGCTGGGAGCCTCGTCGCATTGGAATGAACGCAGTTTATGCTTCCCATTTAGCTGGCAATGCCTTTACAGCACTTTACAGCAAAAGCAGTGCATGAAGACTGAATCCGCCACGGCCAGGCGCCCAGATGCAGCAAACGTTGCGGGCAATGTCGGAGTTTCTTGCTTCCCTAGATTTGTACTTTTCAATTTCAAAGTGCGCCAGAAGGGCTATAGTTGGTATTGGCGATTCCTTTATCGGAAGGGGATGCACGACAGCGGTGGGTATATCCAAGCCACAGTAGCACTTTTCCGCAGCTCGTCTGCGCTAGGGAAGCTTTCCGAGATGTGTTGCGGCGCACGTTTATGCCCAAGTCGACAAGGGAACAGGCAATCTCAAAAACGAGAAAGCACACACAAAGGAAGCTATGGATGGAAGGCTACATCGAGAAGCATCATGAAAAGAAGTCCAACGGCGGACTCGGTAGACCGAAGGTGTCCCCTGGAGACAAGCAATCGGTTACCGCCTGAGCCGTAGCGTGGGAAATAAGGGGTAGAACTGTTGAGCTTGCAGAGATGATTGAAAACTCACTCGTCCAAATGAGAAGAAAACGCCCCTACTGCTGCCTTAAGTGAGAAGGAAGAACGCGGGTTTGGAAATAACCCAAATGTAGAGCCTATGGATATCGGGACTGTGAATGCTCGCCCCGCCGAGAAAGAGGTAGGAGGCGTCAACCGACAGCAGCGAGAGGTCGGCACTTAAAAAGCCGGGGAGAATTCCCGAGCGGCGCGCATGCTTCTTTCGCAATGAACATTGCCACGTAATTTCAGATTAAAACAGGTATGAAAGGAGCGGAGAAACTGGAGCAGCTACATTAGGAGCACCGCCACCTGGAGAACAGACGAAGCGATCAGGGAGACACTGCGGCCCCGTGTGACATGCGGCACAGTGATGGACTGTATGAAGTAACACCCCCACTTGCAGGTCCGTCTTTAGTAAGCTCTGTGCTCATCCAGATTCTTATGAGTGATTAGGAGTTGCTAACGTCGCTTGGCACAGGCTGCCAAGCTTATCGGGTATCTGAAACTACGGCAAGGAACGGGAACATACCTCATACCTGTCTATGCGTTTGCACAGTCTCTGCGACTATGCTTTGCGGATGGAAGACATGACACCAGAATGGGGAGGACGCCAGTAGTTTTGAAGGAAACCTTAGGGAGAACAGTTGACTATTTTTCGGTTTGTAATGTTGTTTGCAGAATCCTTTTGCTACTAGGCAATTTTATGCATGAGGGTGCATAGCGTGGGGTTGGTTGTGCGCAGTACGGTACTACCAAGCGGAGCGAGGCTCCTAGATCTTACCTGCAAATCATTGTGAATTGCCAAACAGCCCAAGAATAAGCATACGAGCTCGCTAAAGCAGCTGAGCTCCGCTCCCGTTCCCGGGCATCCTGTGCACAACCGCCCAATGGTGCGTAGCCCTGCAGAGGAGCGGTCCTGCGATGAATTGCAGCGCACCTTGTTACAACTAGCACTGCACGGCAACACCGCTTGCAAGTTCAATCAAAACCCCCCTTGATGAATGTACTAACACTGCGGGCTCTTGGCTCTTGTTGAATACCCTCATGGCCGTCAGTATGTAGCCGCATTCAAGTAGAACCGTTTGAGCTTGCCCCGGGACATCAAACTGCGCCGGCGCGGGTCAGCAGGAGCCTCAAAACAGGAATAGGCGCACCGGTGTGTGCTATCTGGCTATGCTAAATGCGGAACAAAAAAAACACTGAATTTGAATTTGAATGCAGTTCCTGAGGCGCGGGACACGTAATTTCCGGCTCGCGACAGATGCAGATTCCGCCAGTTCTGCCCTGGGTCTCATAGTTCATACAGAAGAGCAACTTCGACGAATATATATAATAAGTGCAGAATGAACGAACACACCACCTCACGCCCTACCCGGGATAGGATAGGGCAGACTATTAAGCGTGGAAAGGACCCCCTTCTTAAGACGCCACCAAACATATATCCACATAAAAAACCTGGGTAGGGATTACGATGTAGAATGCAACTGTTCATTATACGCCATTTTTATCAGCAAATTAGAAGCAAAGCCTTTGCAGCGATGGCTGTCTTCGGAAGAGGACGCCCTCTGAAATATGCTCACAGTGTGCAGCTTGTCCACGTGCACGCTGGCACCATTAGCGGCACAACTGGTATTATTCAGACACTTCTAAGGCAAATACGGCTTGAAAATTTAGGGGGGTTAGTTGTAGGCTGGGGAGAAAGTCAAAGAATTGGACATAGCAACTCATCGTCTTCGCCCGGATCACCGGGCGATCGTTTGCTAATTTTAGCGCTGTTAATATTCTGAAGGGCCAATTCATAGAGAACTCAGCCTAATGAATATTCAGTGAATCCCTAAGGAGCCCTTTTTGGTGGATTCGTTCTGCGGTGTATGTGCACTCTGTCATGGCGTCACCGCATTGGGTCGACAAAAGTGAGGCCGTTGTGCATCGGGGATGGTGGAGAGTCCCATTTGAATTGTTGTTCTTGTGTGCTTCTACAATTAATATTTTGTGAGACGAATACGGAATACTGTAGGGTGGTTTATTAGCGTTTTATTGTTTTCGAGCTTTCGGCTTGTGCTGTGCACGTCGGCCAAATAAGCCCGTACTTTCGGTGGGGGAGCGGCGGCATTTTTTTCCCGTTGGGCTCTACTCTAAGGTAGAATTGATTGATAGAGGAGGTTAAAATCCACCTTTTGGGTAATACTGCACGTAAATACGGTGTAGTGCTTCCTTCCTGGTTGGGCTCTGTCGTGGTTTACAGCCCGACGCGAGTTTGCTTTCTGGCAGAGTCAGCTATTAGATGAAGCGGCAACATGTGGATCTTGACTGTGCTTCTGTTGCTCCACCTAATCACTCCAGGCGTTGCTAGTGAGGAGGCCACCGCCCCTTCCGCTCTTCCCCCCTTCTTCAGGCAGGGAGAGATGACAAGCAACAGCAGCAGCAGCGGTTCTCTTGTCTCTGGATCTGTGTCTCCGGAGGACCGGTTCCCACAGACTAGCGTGGGCTTCTACTTACTGAGAATGAGACGGAGGAATAACGAAAAGCAGCAGGAAATGCCCGCTGGTCCCAGAAACATCGACTGGGCTGCCATCTTAGAGAGTCTGAAGAACTCAGCGGCGCAGCAGTCGACGGCGACACCGCCAGGGACGCCCCCAGGGGAATCTTGAATCTTGAATTTTAACCATGAATGTTTAACGCTGAATCTGTAATGGGTATGCTCCGGAGGGGACACAAAGTACTGTTCCCTGCTGGGTGCTGCAGCATCAGTTGGGCTAGGGAGATATCTCTGCAGCTTTTTTTTTCTTTACATCCTCCGGCTCAGCTGTACTTGCACCTGCCGCAGGCTAGCCAAATAACGACAGCTCTACCGCAGGAAACTGGCCTACAGCGTGAGGGTTCAGGTCGCCTGCTGCAAGAACACCGCGGCAGCACTTTTAATATGTGCCACCTTTTATCTGCTTATGCTCCTGCTGCAGCACTGCTTCTGCTCTGCGTCAATGCGGCTGCTGCTCTGTTTCAATGCGGCTGCTGCAGTGCTGCAGGGCTGCTTCTGCTGGGCTGCAGCGGGGAAGTTGGCTGGTGCAGTGAACGATTTAGTGTGCATGTACGCATGCGGGAGCCTTGAATAAGGTTTGTTGCCCTATTAGGCTTAATTAAGGCATGCGAAAGACTGAGAGATATGGCGTATTTGCCGATATCTCCAGTTTTGTTAATGTTTTTGGTTTTCATATGGTGTAGCTGCTGCTGCCTCTGTAGCCGCTACTTCCTCTGGTAGCTGCTGCTGCCTCTGTAGCTGCTGCAAGCAATTCGTTGCTGGCGGTGTTTAGTTGGTGTTGCAGTTGTGAACAAAGTTTTCCTTCTTCGACGCCGCACCGAAGGGGGCTGGCGGCAGTCTTTCAGAGCTCCCCTCTCCCGTTCATTATTTAAGTCTCTTATACGCTGCATCAACGCATGCTTGCACGCCTGCATGCACGCATACATGTGCTAGTTGCAGCTGTTGTATATATAGACGCAAGGCTCTACTAGTAGGGTATGAATAGTTGCAAACCTAGAGGCTGAAGACCAGATAATGCAGACTTTGCATTCTCACAGTTGAACCAGAGGTTTTCTGCGTTGACGTACTCGCGCATAAGCTGAGACGGGAATGCATTTGTGTATGTATAAATAATACTTAAAAATACCTAATGTATACCACTATATATAGAGATGTATCTATCCGTACCTATTGCCGCGTATGTTTAAATACGTACATAGACGTTGTGTATTCGTAAGTATTCATATGCGCACGTATATACGTATTTAAAATATAGGTGTATAATATATTGAGGCCTTGATCTGAGGATCAGGTACTTCACATAGCAGTGTAGGCACAAGAGGCAAAAGAATGTGGGGCAATACTTCAGATGATTTGTGGCCTGTAGTAACGTACGTGCATCCATATGTATTCATATGCGTACGTATATATGTTTGATATATATATATATATATATACTATATACATAATATATACACATATATATATATATATATA